TCCTAATAAAAACCTTTCTGATGGAATGGTGGCTATATAATTGTACTTTAAAAGATTGCTTACTTTGTGGCGGAAAAAAAATGTAAGTAATTTTTTATAATTTTGATTTAAATTTTAATTAATTAAGCTTATCTTTTAATAATAATTCAATTTCATCCTACATAATTAATCATTTCAAAATATAACCATCTCATAAAAAATTAAAATCAAATATTTTTTATTTTTTATTTTTAATCAGAAAATTAATGTGATATATATATATATATACACACACACACACACACTATAGTTTAATTCAACAATATTTAGAATTAAAAAATAAAATAAATATTTTAAAAAAATAAACTTAAGAGTCAAATTATATTTTTAGTAAATGGGTAATCCTACTTTTGTTATTTAACTATTCTTAGTAAATAATTTTATTAACTTATTTATAGTAACTATAATAAAGTATGGATCTTGAACTAAACTCCACTTTTATAACTTAAGAAAACTTTAATATTATATTTGAATGATGATATTTATGTACTGATTATTTTTAAATACCTAATACAATTTTATCATTTTTCCTATATTTCTTTTTCAAACATGTTATATTTCTTATAATAATATCTATATTTCTTTTTCTCTTTTCTAGTTGAATGTCTATATGTATACATTGAAAAAAAATGCACTTGAATTAGAACAAAGTATCACCATAGAGTTGTCATATTCATACTTTTGTCATTTATCAATCATGAATAAGTACTTAATCAGAGGTAATTAAAGGCACACACACAGAGTGTTAACTGATAGAAACAGCTATAAGACCACGATTACCTCATGCTTCATGAAACAAAAAACGCAGGCAAAAGCTGGGTTGGGAGAAAAAGACATCACTTGGGCTACGTAGCTAGACAAATTAAGAGATAGACATTAGAGGAAAGACTTTGAAATTATAAGTTAATGCCATTAGGTATGAATCCTATATAAGAACATGAACTTAATTTCTCAAGGTTACAGAAGTAAAGTCTTGAATTGGCAAAGAGTTATGGTGAATTTGGTAAGATATTTTTTCAGTTAAGTGGGTAGTGGATAGCTGTCAGAGTCATGCATCGAAAATTGACAAGGCAAAGAGTTAGGCCAAGATTGTCCAACCAAATCAATGACCCTAAACAAATGACCATAAGCACTGTAGTTACTACCTCAGTGAGACGTGTTTAATAGGTAAAATTACAGGGTGGTTGTCTCTTTGGTCTTGCACCAAAGAGATGAAATGTGGTTAGCAGAAGAAGAAGCATGTGCAAATGTGTTATGCAATCCCAACTTGCAATAAAGGGTACGCACATACCATGGTAGCAATGAGGAAGCATGCACGTTACCGTGGGGGTTCAACCCCGCTAGCTTCTTTATGAAGCCATAAATAATGCTACCACAACGCATTGGAATTGTACTGTGTCACTCGATGTTTACATCACATGAGCTGTTACTTTTTCCATTACAGTGAAAACACGCACGCTATGTGCCTCTTCCAGTTAGGTAGTTGCCTCTTTTGTGACACCACCCTTCATACAACATGCCACTTTATGCAACAGGACCACTCCTCTCTTAGGGCAAAGTCAGAATAATAATAAAAAGACAAAAAGTAACAATACTTATCCCAACCACAGAACCTGTAAAACTTTTTATTACCCTATTTTCTGCAATATATACACCAAATATCCTCTACTAAAGACCATTTCATTTGAGTCCCATGGGATCACAACATCAGTTACATAGTTCTTTCTCCAATTTAATGAAAGACACTCACCTCAGTTGATCACATGTTGGGTGATCAACTTTATATAATTTAAGATGAATCCCATGTTTTTTCTAACTGAAAGTTACCATCTTTTAACGAATGTTCATCCTTCTTCTCACAAAATGTTACATAAAAAAAATATACTTTAATAACCCATCTCATAATTAATATACAACTCTTAAAGGAAAAAAAAGTATAGATATTTTATTATATATATATATATATATATATATATATTACTTTTTGAAGTTATATGTATAATCTAATTTGAAGACTATGCGCATGAAGCACTACAAGAAAAATTGAATTTTTTTCATGGACAAAATTAGCTCGGTAACTAAAAAAAATCTATCGGTAATTATGTTGTCAGTAAATATTATTGATAGATTTGAAAATTTCATCAGTAATTATTGACGGATATATCTGTCAATAAGTAGGATACATTTTTATTTATTTATATTTTTATTATTTATTAAATTATTTAATTTTTATCTAGATGTCCCCCTTCCATTTATATTATATTTTTATTATTTATGAACCCAAGTACCTTAGAGTTGGAGGTTGATACTCCAACCACTAGGCTACTAAATTTTTCTAATAATAATTTACAAATAAATTATATCTATATACAAATAAATATATATCTGTGTAAATATATAAATACAAATATATTTATATATTTTGATATATTTATATATATTTATATGTTGGATGTGAGGACGCGTTCGATGGTGAAAATGTGTGTCGTATTTATTAGAATATATTTAAAATTAAGTAATTATTATATAATTTTAAATATTTAATTTTTTTAATTTAATGTTGATTTTTAAAAATATACTTTAAATCATTCGGTAAATGAACAAATAATTACCGAAGGATATATCAATAGGTAACTAATTATCTATTTACAAAATTTTTAATTTACCGATGGATATATTCATCAAGTAATTACTTGTTCATTTATTGACAGATTTACCGACGAATATATCCGTCATAATTAATTATTTATTTACCGATCGGATATATCCATCGATAATTAATTGTTCATTTACCGATATATATATATATATATATATATATATATATATATATATATCCGTCGGTAAAACCAAATTTCACAACTAGATAATCATTTATTTTCCGACTGACTACATACCCGTCATTAATATAAAATTTTATATAATATAGAGTTAGTATATAAGATAAAATAAGGTGTATTCCTTACTTTTGATTGTTAGTGCAAATTTTATTTAATCCATATTATTTTACATATTAGAAAAATATTATCTGTGAATTATGTGACACATAATCACTAATTAGTTTACACTCAATTCTCTAATAATCCTTAAACAATTCATTGAAGAAAATGTAATTTGTTGGTCCTTAAGATGTTTCTGGTTCTTAAAAATAATTTCTAAAAACCTTTTTTAAATAAAAAATATATAATATTTCTTGAAAAAAAAATGTTTATTCAAATCTTTGTTATTTTCAGCATTTCCTAAATTGGAAGGAATGTCTTTGTATTTAATGAATTTTAGTAATATTTTTCCTTATAATATATATGTACTCTAGCTTTTTCCTTCACAAATCCTACACGTAGTTCATTGTATTTGTGCAGCGTTTTCCCAAGAAAACACAAGCACACTCTCGCGCCTCTGTTTGCTTTCTGGAGACTCAACTTCATTTTCCTTCAAAAAAAGCATATTTGTTCTGACAGCTGAAAAGCTGAAATTAGATCAAACAATGTGCGCTATCAAATATTGGGCAGAAGATAGAAAAAGCAATTACAAATCTGAAAAAAAAAATGCGTGATGGAATAAATAGTATGCTACATGCATAGTGATATCATGCTTAAAATTCACACAATTTGTTCATCTGTTAGCACCTAATTAGTTTAACTAGATGTAAATAAATCTTATTGAACACTCATAAACTTTTATACCTGAATTGTGTACACATCTTGAGATACACAAAGTGATGTGGAATGAGAATAGTATTGCAATAGAACAAGATATATATACTGCTGAATGAAATAGCACAGATTTTTTACATTTTGTAGTCAAATATTGATGATAGGTTCAGCTGTGTATCATTTTGTGTCCTTTTGTCCATAGTGTTTTAGGAGATAATGCAGCCTTGGAAAAGTTTATGATTATGCTAACTTTTTGGTTATGCATAACCTTGAAAAGATTAAATGATCCTGTATATATTAATGATGAAAATCAACTGCTACTGAGTTTTGTATCATCTCCTATTTGTATTCATTTAAAGTTACAGAATGATTTTTGTATCTTTCACGAGATCTATTCAGTGTTACTTTGCCAGCTTGGTTTATAGAATAAAGGAACTTTCAGAGCAAGGACTAACGGTTGCCACCTTCATGCAACTGACAGTCACTTCCAAATCATGCTGCCGAACTGAGAGCATTATAGAAGGACAAGCACCCTATATAGTAAAACACATTATGATGTCAACCAGTAGAAATCAGGCGCAGCATGACTTTGAAGTTAGTGTAAAAGTTAACAGCCTAAGTGACAAATTATGACTGGATCAGTGTAAAAACTTACACTTTTAGCTTATGTACGTATATATATACTCATCTTCCTGTACTATAATATGCTTTGAATGTTAAGCTTAAGTTATAATGGGGTAGTGACATCATTATCAATGAGCTAAGCATCTTATAGTTTGAAAATTAATCTCGAGTTATTGTATGGTCAACGGTCACTAACTTATATGCCATCTATATATGCACTTGACAATGGACCACTTGAGTAATGACAGTGGATTGAGACATCTGAAAGTTCAGTCCGATCTCATTACATTATATTGTAAAGAAAACTGAAATGGCTAACTTTTGAGCTAACCAAATAAGATAGCAGTTTGTGGTGTTAACCTTTTTGTATCCTATAATTGTAACCCTTACTCTATTTGTAATATTATCACTGTTAAGGACATCCATGCAGTATCAACATCAGCATGAAAAGAGGGTAAAATCCTTTGGTTTACCCTAGCTGTGTGGAAATCCTACCAAACCAAAAATCACATGTCCCTTTTGTGGATGAAGCCTTGAATTACTGCATCATCACCTCGTGCTTTATAACTCGGCATGACTTTCACATTCTTTACACTATCCCTCCTTCTTTCTCTCTTTTTCTCTCTCCTTCTCTCTCTCTCACACACACCCACGCTTTGATAAGACTTGAGAGTTTTGGCCAACATGGTGCAATCAAGGAAATTCAGAGGTGTGAGGCAACGCCATTGGGGCTCGTGGGTTTCTGAGATTCGTCACCCATTATTGTACTCTCATCAAACTCATCTCGCTATAAAGATTTTTAATTATTCATTTCTTCCACTTCTCCAAAAAAATTTACTGAAGTACCATTTTTTTTTTCTTTTCTTTGTTTTATTAATCATCCTTTTGTACTATTCTTGCCCTCCTTATTGATAATGAGATATTAGTTAAGAGATGTTTTAAATTGCAGCCAATGTTACTGTCATGGTTTCTTCATGATCCTTGACATTGCAAGAAATTTCCTAAATTGCAGTCACTACACGGTTGCACAGATTCCCAAAACATATTTTAAAACCTTACAAGATCTTTGTAGTATCTGAATTAATTAAAATTGGCGGCATGACTAGGCCACGTACACAAAAATGTGCATTGAATGTGAGAGTCTTACTTTGCAATTTGTGGTGTCTGAATAGGAAAAGGAGGGTGTGGCTTGGGACATTTGAGACAGCCGAGGAAGCAGCGAGAGCATATGATGAAGCAGCCATTTTGATGAGTGGAAGAAATGCTAAAACAAACTTCCCAGTTGGTGAAAACCAAATGGTGAATCAAAGTTCCACTACTTCCTCTTCCTCTTCATCCACCACCACTACATTGTCTGCAGTTCTGAGTGCAAAGCTTAGGAAGTGCTGCAAGTCCCCTTCACCTTCCCTCACGTGCCTAAGGCTTGACACTGAGAATTCCCACATAGGGGTGTGGCAGAAGAGAGCAGGCCCTCGTTCTGACTCTAACTGGATCATGATGGTTGAGTTGGAAAAAAAGAACAGCGAGGGTGATCAAGATCAAGGTCCTTCTTCTGACTCAGAAGTTCCTGTTGTTGTCGTTGATCATGCCCCAGAGAAAATAAAGCCCGAGGAAGGTAATGGCTTAGATGAGGAGCAGAGAATGGCCCTGCAGATGATAGAGGAACTTCTGAATAGGAATTGAGTGGAATCAACATCATCATTCCCACATGCTTTTATGTTCAAGTGGGGCATGCAAGGAGTTCAAGTCCCTTCTCTGGTCCTTTTTCACTTGTTTATTAGTTTGTTTGTCCCGAATAGGATAGGAGAGTGAGATAGAGGGTGGTACTACATTAATGTCGTGAGGAATGAGGATGTTCAGTTTAATGTCTGTGGCTGTGAATGTGAATGTGAATGTTTCCAATGTGTGTGTAGCTACCTACTACCTACGTGTGTTTAAACTTCATTTTATTTCCTCTGTAAAAACTATTCCTTGCTTTAAATATTTTTCATAATATCTTCCTATAATATGAATGAATATGAAATGTTGAACACTTTTTAGCTTTTATAATGACGACAAAGATGTATTAATATTAAGTTAAGTAGTTTTATTGATTTTTGTGATTATGTTAAAAAGTATATTATATTAAGAATAAGAAGGAGTAATTTTTTTTTAAATACAACTATATGTACTGTAAATTTTCTTTTATTTTTTCTACGTCAACCATGAAGTGAAAGGTCTTCTTCATAAACAATGAAGTTTCACACGATTAGGTCAAATATATATATACATAAATGCTAATTAATAAGGTCCGATTTAATTGACATAATTGTCCTGCATTGATACATGAACATAACTTATAAACATCTACAAATTGTAACGCATAAATTTAATGTAAGCAAATTTAAGTAAATAAAAATATAATGAATGGCTAATATTTACATTTTTTCTTTTAAGAAAAAACTTAGAAAGTTTAAATAGGTTTATAGTTTGTCAAAAATTTTGTTCGTCTCTTAGTTTTATTTCTGTAAAATTCAAGATTATTATTTTTAGTCCTTATAAAAAAAATGTATGATTTTTCAGTTTTAATTATTGTAAAATATTTTTCAATATATTTTTGTTAACTCGAGTAGGGAACATTGAAGTTATGAAGTGAATTTGAGATACCTTTTTGGTATTGTTGACATACTAAGATAGGTTTCGGTGAAATACTCTTACATTAATAGACTCAATAAATATATTATAACCAAACTTTTTAAAAATATTTAACAATACGAAATTATTTTATACTAATGAGTTCATAATTTTTATGACCACTTTTTACAAAGTTGTTTTTTATTTTTTTAATTGATACGGAGGAGACATTTTTCTCTTAACCCGTTACTTCTACATGTCATAAAATTTGTAGCAAGTATCAAGGATATATATTTTTTTAATTAAAAACACGTGATTGATTTAATTGTTTTTCTTTAATAAAATCACCATTTGAAACCACTTTGGAAATGGTAACTTATTTTTTTCTTTCAATTTTGTTAAAAGAGTATCATATTAGAATTTAAAAACTATAAAATAACAATAATTGAAAAGATAAACGAAACTATATTTAACGTAATATTTTCTGAGTTGAGGGGAACAAGATTAGCTTCAACAACTTTTTTTTACATAATAAAACTAAATTAAATAAATTATATTACTGTATGGTTAATGTTCAGTCTAAAAATATATTGTTCCAATTTCATAATATATTTAAAAATATTATATATTTAAAAACCAATTTTTATATTTAAAATATTATATATTTTAAACTTTTATTTATTATGGTTTTATTTTTAAAAAATGTATTAAATTAAGTGATGAAATTAAAAAAAAAATTAACTCATTAATTCATGAGCGTACCAACACTTTTTAATAAATTATTTTATATAATATTCTGAATTCTTGAGTTTTTTTTGGCAGGTACGAACATAAAAACATTAACCGTTATTTCAATAAATTATTTTATAAAAAATAATTAATTCAGAATTAGCGTTTTACTTAAACATTGATAATCATTATTAATTTTGAAGATGATTGGCTTATGATAGTTTTATTAAAATTAAAAAAAAAATGAATACATTTTGGGGTATATGTTCCCCACAAGCATAAATTTAAATAAAAAAGTTGTATATATTTAATAAATATATCTCCATCACATCAAAGGAGGGTTGATGCAGGGGGAGGTATTTATGCATATGCTTTGTCATAATAATAGAAACAGTGTAATTAAAATACAAATAGCAAACATATATTCTAATTTCGTAGACTATGACATCCCCTTGCTTCTACAATAATTTAAATTGACGCCGACAGCTGAAAATTCATCCTCTAGCTGGATAATAATCACTTTCCAAACTAAACACTTCTGCCGACAATTACAATTAATCAATAATTAGCGCCAAAATACTTAGATTTATCATTCACTGACATTTTCAAATGTCTTTTAGGCTTTCAGAAAAAAAAAATTATAAAAAAGTTATAATTATATATTAAAGTATATATTATTACAAAAAATTAAAAAAATATTTTATTAATAAAAAATTAATTATATTTTTTATTATGTATAAAAATGAGAGTATATATTATTGAAAAAATAAATATGTTTTTTTATCATATGGATGATAATACGTGAATCAGACTCACGTGTTCAAGTTGGGTTAGGTTGAATTTTATAATTTTTATCGATAATAAATAAAAATTGAACTCAATTCACTTAACTCACAGGTTAAGGGATTCGAACTAGATTATGATAGGTTGACCCATAACCCATCACTCATATTATATTTTAAATAAAATTATAACATTGAGTAAATTTAATTAATATTATCTTACCTCTTCACCTCAATTTCATGTTATTATAATAATTCAAACTCTAACTTAAATTTATTATTAATTATCCGACATAATTATCCGTCATACAAGTATGTTTGTCGTTATATCTCGATGTGTTACTATATTTATTGTATTTATCATAATTTTGTATTAAACTAAATTTATATAAACCAAATTGACTGGTTTTTACACTCTTATTTAAGATTAAAAGTATTCTAAACTTGTTATTTAATTTTATCATCTCCTTCCTCTTCTACATTATCTCATTATTTGAAATTTGTTATAAAATATCTCATTTTTTATGATAGAGATATCTATTTCTCCTCTATGTTACGATTTTTCACAATTATTGTATATCATCTACACATGGCAACATGCGGTGCACATTTGTGTTGGCTAGTTAAAGTGGTTTACTAGTGAATCTAGGGGAAAATGTGGAAGATTGGGAAAGGAAAAAGGAAAAGCAATTGATGTAATTTCTATAAAGGTGTGATGCTGAAATATCCAATTCCATCGTTCAATGGAAATTAATGAGTTTTGGCGTAACAAGGCCATGTGGTAGGGATTTATAGGTTCTTTAGGTAACAGCATTTGTGTCTCTAACAACAACATTGAAGATTAAATTGACCTCAAGCAAGGGCTATAGACCATGGTAGATATACATCATGCACCTTCTGATTGCTTTGTCTTGTTGTGTGAGCTGGTACCATATCACAATGTTCAAGAGATTTTGAAACATCTTTATAGTTGCTTAAATGAATTATTTAGCTTAATGTTATGATTTTTGTTGATGCTTCGTAATATTGTATAATCTTGATTATGATTTAATTTGTCTAGATCACTCCACCAAATTTATTTTAGGTAGATTAAGTGTTTCATAGGGTGATATAGATTAAGCGTTAACACACTATAACTAAATTATTTTAGGATTTAAATTATATTATTCGAGTTTTATTGATACGATATTTTGTAATTTTTGTTTAAAGAATGCTAACAACACATGAATTTTCAATGCTAAAAAGATTTTAATTAATGGTACTTAACATCAATCAACATTCTTAATCACTTTGGTAATAGATTGTTTTAAAAGTTTTAAAGAAAAAAAAAATAGTTCTTTAATTTCGTTGGATTTGAGCTTATTTTAGTCGATCTTGGTTCAACTAATTTCATTTTCTCGAAATCTCCATACTACACACCAGTTATTGGTTTGAAAATTAAAATTCTTAATACAGTCTCAGCATACAGAAGAATCAATATCAACATATTTGCATTTTGTTGTAGAGGTGTCATAAACAACAACCATAGACATGAATGTTCTATGAGAGGGTATTTAAGTAATTAAGCACCACAGAACCCTTGATGCTTGAAGACGGTGGTGGGAATCGGGGATAGGAGCTGAATCGAAGGAGAGAGTTGAGAGAATATGATCCTTGCGGTGCTGTTTGCCAACGCTGAGGGCAATATCCTCATCGAACGGTGCGTTTAGATCCATATTTTCTTCCCATTTCCAATTTCATTTTTGCTGCGCTTCTCATTTGTACTTCAACTCCTCCGATTCGTTTCAATTTCCTCATGCTCCATTGAAATTTTTGATTTGGCGGATAAAATCCTGTTATTTAGATTGGATTCGAAATGGGTTTGGCTTGGATTTGATGGGATAGAGTAGTAGTTGGCATAGTTGTTTTCTGAATCATGTTGAACAAGGGGCATTTGTCTCTGTTAAACAATAATCCGACTTTTCATTAGTGCCGTGTAAGATTAAGCTCAACTAATTATGTGTATTGTATTAGAGTCCTGCTTTGCATATTTTTTAATCTGCTTAATTGGGTATTTGGACTACATTTTGTTAACTATAATAACATAACCCCTTTGTGGTACATATTGTCCTGTCATGCTTGCATAACATACATAATGATTTTCAATATTGCAGTTTTCATGGTGTTCCTGCAGAGGAGCGCCTACACTGGCGTTCTTTCTTAGTCAAACTAGGAGCTGATAATCTTAAGGGTGTCAAAAACGAAGAGCTGCTAGTTGCTTGCCACAAGTCAGTATAGCATACTTTTCTCTCAAATATTTTACCTTGAATTTCATGTATCTGTGTGTGATTATATGAATTGCCTCATCTAAGAGCAGAAAACTTACGGACTAACTAATTTTAGTTGCTAGAAAGAATGGAACTGATATTTGGGAACACAGTCTTTTCAGATGATGTAGTTGGTAGCTGGAATATCAGAAATGAATTGTATTTGTAGAGCAGTGCATGTGTTCTACATCACTAAAACACACGCATGCATACTTGTTCAATGATGTTTAGCAGCTTTTGAAAACTCGAATCATCATTCATCCACGATCTGAAGTTTGACTTGAAAAAAGATTATCTTTCACCATCAATTCTTGTGCATTCAAATTCTTTTTGTGGAAAATTGCTTCTTACTCTTTCGTGATACTATGGTACTTGTGCATTTTCATTGCATCAGGTCAGTTTATATAGTATACACGGTGCTTGGGGATGTCAGCATCTATGTCGTGGGCAAGGACGAGTATGACGAACTTGCCTGTATGTATTCACATAATCAATATTTTATACTTGTTGGTTGTAATATAAATTCATGGAAAGGAGTCATTTTAGCTCTCAGGCACAGGATAGGCTCTCTTGTTTTGGAGGACTAAGTGAGAAGGGTACATTTGAAAAATGTGAACAGATCTACTATGAGCCTTGACAATTACACTACTACAGACTAAGCTTCTTTATTCAGGTTACTGCTAGTAATCAGGATGCACGTAGACAAATGTGCGTAGGATGATGAGAAATAATAGATTATTTGCAAATTGCAATGAAACGTAAGATACTGGAGTTAAGAGTTCAATAATGGAGAGAAGAGTAAGTAAACTCAGAGTTGTGGAGAGAAAGAATCAGATCATTTAGATGTAATTTTTGAAAGGAGATTTCGATTATATATTTTTTTACAAAATCCAGTAATATATATTGATTTGTCTAACAGACATCAAGATAAGATGACTTCATAGTCTTTTGGGACAAAAAGTAAAGATGAAAAACTTCCCCTTCACTTTATTATTTTGATAATGCAAATCATAACTATTGCTGAGAAACATTCCTTTTCTAGAATTGTTGTTGGCAAAACTAGAGGTCAACTTAACTGCTAATAAGGGACAAATATTGGATTCTACATTTGGTGGAAGCTTTTGCTTGGCTTACGAAGAAAATGACTAATGACATGATGACATCTGCCTTTTTACCTCTATGCTTTATTTAACCTAGGGCTGGAAAGTGGAAATATCAAGAGCTTTGGATTACTTTCTAATTTACATATCTGCTTCTAATCATTACCATATTTTTCTGTCCAGTGTCAGAAGTGATATTTGTGATAACCTCAGCTGTGAAGGATGTATGTGGGAAGCCCCCAAGTGAGCGCCTCTTCCTTGACAAGTATGGAAGAATTTGTCTGTGTTTGGATGAAATTGTATGGAAGGTAAGGAACATGCAGAACAGTTTCAGATTTTCAGTCATACAAAGTAACAAAAACCAAAGATTTGGATTTTTTTTGTCTGTTTACTCTATCTGCTTGTCTTTGGTGCTCATCTAGTAATGAATCTGATGTGATATATGTAATCATAAGAATTGCTCATCTACTTATTATCTATGTGATGGATTTATCTGTTTGACAATAGGCCCATGACATGAGTTAGATATTATCTTCTGCTATGCATGTGATGGATGCCCTAAGAATGCTCTGCCTTACTAAAGTATAAGAATTTATTTGGACTGGATCAGGGAAAAACTGACCACCAGTAGACACTTCAATCCTTTGTCCCTAAACACTAATTAATCCAAATTTATCCAACTGCTTTGTTCCATTGTTGTATACAACAATTTTCTACTATATGCTTTTCTTGACATTTTCTGTGTGCGTGTTTTGAAGGGATATTTGGAAAATACAGAAAAGGATAGAATCAAAAGGCTAATAAGGTTAAAGCCTCCGACAGAGTTTTGAATGAGAAGACCAGAGCCAGTTCAATGACTGCTCTGAGTCGTTCAGTGTGGCATCTTGTAAAATGGATACGATATGGGCAAGCAATCAAAGACTGTGCTGGATATCTGCGCTTCGCAACTACTATATTAAATTCTTGTGTTAAAATCTTCTCAATTTTTAGCACTTGTATTTTTTAGCATTCCCAAATTCTGCCTTGTATAATTTGCCTACTGTGGCCCTCTTTTATACTTGCATATTGTTTGCTGTGTGGCTCATGTTTCCATCTATGGAACGCATGGCTATAAAAGCTGCATTTCATAAACACTGGGAAGAAACCATGTTTTGCAAGTCACTCTTGTAGCTTGTTTGGTATGTGAGCTAATTTTAGTAAGCTTCTAAACATTTTTAACCTTGTAATAATGAAGGCAAAGACAAAATATGCTGTAAATTTCGTAGAAGAATCAAATATTATAATGTTTTCCCACGAGGACTAGTAAGTCAGGGTATATCACCTATAGAAGGTGAATGATTAAACGTATTAAAAATATTTTTATTTTTTTAATATAACCTTTTTATCATTTAATTTAATTCAAACATGGTTGGTGTTTCCTTTAGGAGTAAGAAGTTATCACTTTACTGAATTAATGAGCACAAACTTGTACGAATGGGTGAATTTCTATACCAGTTGTAGCGAGGATGGGGCACATTTTCTTCAACCAATTGTTGTTGTAACTCAAATAAGGGTAAGATAGGTTAAAGGATTCAACAGGATACCTGACCTACATACATGAACGCAACTATAACTAATTGATAATGAGAGATATTCAAAGATTAAATATCTATTTGAAAAGAAAATTTTTAATTTGACCCAAATTCTTGATTTTTTATTGTTAAGGGTAATGCATTCACGGAGATAATAAACTTATTTTTGAAATGTTGTGTCAATAAATAACATATTTATTGATGTTCTGTGTGAAAAAAAAAAATATTATTTTGAGATGAAACTAATAACAATAAATATATATGTTTCAAATTTTATAAAAATATTATGTATTTTGAAATGTTAATTACATCAATAATATAATATCAAATTGTTAATGAAGAATATATATATATATATATATATATATATATATATATATATATTTTTGTTATTTTTTAGTATGCATTTAAACCTAGTTATTTTAAATTGTTCGAGTAGCGATTGTAATCCAAATGTTAATTTTTGTTCATAACTAACGTGTAAATGACCTGATTCTTAGATGTGAGACCCTGTCACATTTTTTTAGAATAACATTTTAGTTTTTTAATGCGCAAAACAATCATTCCTTTAATAAATTATTTTGTCAATTAAATATTAATTTTACAATAAATCAAAAAATTAAATTAGATTTTTTTTTTGATATATTAAATTTTTATTGCACTGTTTTATTTTAGTATAAATTAATATTTATTACTTTTTGAAAAACATGATTTTGTTTTCCAGAATTGATCATTGTTTCCTGTGCTGGTGGTATTGTGAAGGTTGGTGGTAGGACACTCGAAAGCTGGAGTGGCAAGGGCTTTTTGGACTATTCCACGGTGGCACACGCTATATCTTCTCGTCCCTGCTGCACTCGCTGTTACTCTTTCTAAAACCCAGAACCAGATCTAGGGTTTATTTTCATTCTCAACAACTCTTTCCGTTTCGTCTTCCAAGGTCAGCTTCTATAAGCTCTCTCTCTCTTTCTCTCCAGCCAATTCAATTTGATTTTCTCTCTCTGAATCTCTCCAACTGAATCTGAAAAAGCTGACCCTAACCAGCAGAATCAGGATGGGAGAATTGAAGGACACTGAGGCTTACGAGGAAGAGCTCCTCGATTACGAAGAAGAAGATGAGAAAGCTCCCGATTCTGCCAAGCCCGCCGAATCTGGCAAGAAGTTAGTATCTATCTTCTTCCTCTTATCCACTTTTATTATGAAAGTGAAAATTTGTCATGTTTCTCTGATTTTTTTCGTTTTGTTTTCTGTTTTACGATTGAAAGTGATGGAAGTAGCTATGTCGGTTCTTTTTTAGGATCTATTCGTACTGTCTAAGGGAGCATAAATGTAGATTTATTTGTTTTAGTTTATTTTTAAAATAATTTGTTTACTGGTAACAAGACATTGTTTGTACATGTATATGATGTAATGAATGGACATAGTTGTTAATCCTGTATTGTAGCGTGGAGTGCATATATATTGCAAAAAGGCTATTCAGGATAAATAATAAGCTTCAATTTACACACACAATCCTATATTGAAGCTTTGTTAAGGTTTTTGTGACATATTGATGTAATGTTTCATTAGGAAAAAATTATTTGCTTAGGTTTTCAAGCCAAGCTTTGATGTTACACCTCCTAATTTTGTGTATTTATTGTTTTTCTGATGCAGGGGTTATGTTGGCATCCATAGTTCGGGATTTCGAGACTTCCTGTTGAAGCCAGAGCTTCTGCGAGCCATTGTAGATTCAGGATTTGAGCATCCTTCAGAAGGCAAGATTTAGAAGATGCTGTATTTGCTTAAATCTAATATATGAGGATAGTCACATAATTTCTATGAAATTGGCATGATGACTTTGATTAATTTGTATATTGCTCTCTAGTAATACAGTCTGACCTGCTTATCTGTGCTCTTGATTGCTCTAGTAATACAGTATATTCTGTTGCTTTTCTCAATAAATTATACATTATGTTGAATTCGGTGGGCTAAGCTTTCAATAGTTTCTTAAGCATATACTTTTTATTAAGGGGTATCTATTGATCATTGTATGTTTGGGAAGGGATGTTTGAGTGTGTGTATATATATATATATATATATATATATATATATATATATATATATATATATATATATATATATTCTTTTCTCCTTTCAAAACCTTTTGATTTTCATCAAGCAACCCAAAAGAAGTTTTTCTTGGTCTTTAAAATAAACTAGACACTTTATTGTTTTTTATATTTCCTCTACTAAATTATTTATTGGTTTTCTGACATTATTATAGTTTTTCTTAATCTCTAATCTATTTTATTTTCTAAATTTACCAGGTAATCACTATTAGCATATTAATAGGTCACGAAAATTGGTTGGTAAACCTTTACATTAAAAGGATCTGGCAGATCATATATACTTACTGAGGATTCGTCCACTACAATTTTGTTTGCTTCTTCATTAGTGCAACATGAATGCATCCCTCAAGCAATCTTAGGAATGGATGTCATTTGCCAAGCAAAATCTGGGATGGGAAAGACTGCTGTTTTTGTTCTTTCTACACTTCAGCAAGTTGATCCTGTTCCTGGTCAAGTTGCAGCTCTTGTCCTTTGCCACACAAGAGAACTGGCTTATCAGGTATGTCTGCATTCATGTGGATGAATGTATCTAAATTGCTAGAGCAATTTGTTTTCTATTCTTCTGTCTCTTTACATAAGGTGTTTCTTATGTTACCAAAAACTGACAAACATGCGTGTGTAAATACTTAACATTGCTTTTTTTTTTGTCCAGATTTGTCATGAATTTGAGAGGTTTAGCACATATCTTTCTGATATAAAGGCTGCTGTTTTCTATGGTGGTGTCAATATCAAGGTTCACAAAGAATTGCTCAAGAATGAATGTCCTCATATTGTTGTTGGAACTCCTGGGAGGATTCTTGCTCTGGCTAGAGATAAGGACCTTGGTTTAAAGAACGTGAGGCATTTTATACTTGATGAGTGTGACAAGATGCTCGAGTCACTTGGTCTCTTTCTCCCTCTGTTAATTTGTGTTTCTTGCTATGCATTTGCAATCTGTGATAACTTATTATGCTTTTCTTACCTTCACAGATATGAGAAGAGATGTCCAAGAGATTTTCAAATTGACCCCTCATGATAAACAAGTGATGATGTTTTCAGCTACACTCAGTAAAGAGATTCGACCTGTTTGCAAGAAATTTATGCAAGATGTAATGTTCTTCTCATTTGATGATTTATTTTACTGCATCTTGTAAGATGGTTTAATAGTTCCTTGTATTGTTTATTTTTGCAGCACTTTTGCTCCTTGTTTAGAATTTTCATGAAGATTTTTTTAAGCATTTTTGTTAGTCTATGTTGTCATTTGATTTTGAATGTTTAGCCGTGTTTAATTGTAATTGCAATTATTCTCTCTTATAAATCAAATTAACTGAAATCCATATGTCTATTATCTATGATGGTTGATATCTTCATCCTCTGATTGATTATCTTTTCCTTTCAGCCTATGGAAATTTATGTAGATGATGAGGCCAAATTGACTCTTCATGGTCTTGTCCAGGTATGTTTTTTATTTAACGTTTTCTCTCCTCGTTGATGATTTATTTCTTAGTAAAATTTTGTCTTCTAGCTTAATTCTACTCATTTGTCACCTTTTCCAGCATTACATCAAATTGCAAGAGTCAGAGAAGAATAGGAAGTTGAATGATCTTCTTGATGCTCTGGACTTCAACCAAGTAGTTATTTTTGTCAAGAGTGTTAGCAGAGCTGCCGAGTTGAACAAGTTGCTTGTGGAATGTAACTTCCCATCCATCTGTATACATTCTGCGATGTCACAGGAAGAGAGGTATACAAGTTCATTTGAAATTTATGGCATGTGCATCTTAATGTGTGTTTAAGCTTAAAGCTGATTTTTCATGTGCTTGTACCTTTGGGCTATTAGTTTCCTTAGGTCTGTGTCTCAGACTCGGAATCTTCAATTCAAAATAGGGTAAACTAACTGGGTATTTTGACTCCATGACTTTGGCATAGATGTGACCTTTTATCTAGTAATTGCAGTCTCTTGTTGTAACAAATTTACCTATTTCAAACGTTTTACCTATTTCAGATTGAAACGATACAAGGGCTTCAAGGAAGGGAAGCAAAGGATTCTCGTGGCAACCGACTTAGTAGGGAGGGGGATTGACATTGAACGTGTTAATATAGTTATTAATTATGACATGCCTGATTCTGCTGATACTTATTTGCACAGGGTAATTGCTGGATCCATTTCGTTCGATTTATTACATATTCTCCTTTTGGTATAGAAGAGAGAGAGAGACAGGTGAAAAATAGAATAGAAATGAAGTTTTTTTTGTTGAAGATAAATAGAGATTAATGATGATAAAATATTTTTATTATAATATTGTTTAATATGATTTTTTAATCTATTGTATTATTTTATTCATTTATTATATTATGTATGAAAAAGATTTGAAAAAAATAATAAAATCACGACATAATTGATTTTGTGGCATTATGGGGGTGTTTTAACCTTAAAAACACGTAAAAAGTACAACTTAATCTATTATGCTGTGCCGCAATTTGGGTTCCTCATTTTCCATACGTTTCTTTCTCATTGCACAATGCGGGGTTATTTATCCTTGTTTTTACCACTTTCTTCGCTCTTCTACCAACCAAACCACCCACCCCCCTACTTTCTTTCTCTCTACGACCTTCAATTTTTTTCTAGTATGTGGTTGTGGTTGTGGTGTGCTTGCATGTTTGTGATTGACCTCTCTTCTCTGTTCCCTCCATCACCAAATATTTTTCTGACATGTGTCTTTATAGGTGGGAAGAGCTGGTAGATTTGGCACGAAGGGGCTTGCAATTACTTTTGTGTCATCCACTGCCGACTCTGAAGTTCTTAATCAGGTCAAAGCCCCTTTTTCATGGAGATCTAGTAATATTTTTTGTACTGCCATTATGAAATGGAAAGGAATCAAAGAATCTTTTCTCCATAAAATGCTTCTATTAACAAAATTCTAAATGCTGATTTCAGGTGCAATCCAGGTTTGAAGTTGATATAAAGGAGCTTCCTGAACAAATTGACACTTCGACATATAGTAAGATTATTTCCTGTTGCCCTTCTAGTTTAGGACTTGAATCATATTTGAGTTGAGCAGCTGCGATAAAGTTCATCAGAACTTTAAGTTTAATTATTGCATATAGATTGTGCTTTTCCACACCATGTTTGAGATTTCAAGCCGCAAAAGTTCCATCGGAAGTATGATAATTGCTTTTAGATAGTACTTTCATTAACTGTATGAGACTTGAAACTGAATTGAACTCAAATGAGGTGTTTTGTTTCAAGTATAGAATTAGTAAAAAATGACTTATTTTGTTTTTTTGCAGTGCCAAACTGATGACGTTTTGGAACAATCAGGAGGAGGAATTCGACTGTTACCCTCATTGAGGGATAATTAGGTGGCATCTCATAAATTTGAGTGCTTTGACACAGTATTTAACGAAAGATTTTATCGTTTAAATTGGAAGATTGGTCAATTTGAATGACTCCATTTTGAGACCCAGCATTTGTATTTGTAGAAATTCATCGTAGTCATTGTAGCCTATAACGTGTTGTTAATCATCGATTCGTTGAAACATATGCAGCAGTGTTAAATCATCGATTAATTTGACATTTTCAGTAGAAGTACATGTACTAAAATTTTAACTAATAAGTCCCTTCCCAAAGATCTTACAAAAAATTCAGATGTCCTTGTATTTTCGAGCTTGATCAATAGAAGTGGCATGCTTACCATGTACCAACTAGCTATCAATGCGTCGCCCGGTAACTGTTTTAACTGACGGCGTTAATTTCTGGATGCAAGATTTGGCTCTTTTTTCAAAGTTACACAATTCATGGACTACTCAGGCTCGTCAACTCGGTTGTTAATCTTGATTCTTTTTATGAGAAATTGTAAATATGCAATTATGAAATATTTTAAGGTGGAGATATATAATTTATAGATTGTCGATTTATTCTTTTCAACCTTCTACGCTATTAAGGAAACCAATGTTCTTCAAAAATTAACACTTCCAAAGTTATTGTAATTTTCAAATACCGAAACATGGAGGCATGATTGATGTTTCTAATTATGAAATGGGTGATGATATATAAACAACTCTGAAGAAAACATTCCTTTAAAATTATAAAATTATAAATATAATTTTAATAATAATAAAATAATTTATAATCTTACCTTTTTTTCTCATTTATTCACACCCAAAAGTTGTCTGAGATGTCTCTCTTCTCATCGCAGAGTAGTTATCTGAATGTTTGTTTGAATGGTTTTCAATCAAATGTAATTTTTTTCACTGGTGACTATGCATCTAATTGAGTCAGATATCATGACATCAGTGAAAAATAATACACAATATGACAGGAATTTAGGAGGAAGTGGGGAGTTGAGTTATTTCAAGTAATTCACAGAATATTGACAGCCAAACCGACTCAGCTCAATCATATTTGATTCGACTAAGATATCAAAATAAAAATCATAATTAGATATGGAAGGATGATTATATTCTCACAAGTCAGAATAATAAAATTAGACGACATAAAAATTATAAAATTGTAAAAATGAAATAACATAAAAATAAAATAAAAAATCTAAGTTTGGATTGATTCCAATTGGATCACATGTGTTCATACCTGATACCTCTAACCAATATCATCAAGTTCGTAGTTTAAAAATATGAACCAAAATTACCATCCACCTACTGAGAAGTGCCTCCATGAAATGTGACAAACAAAAATAAATTAAATAATGCCAAAAGTAAAATCAGAGATCCAAAATCACAACTTGAATTCGCAAAAACACTCGGGTAGAGCAGATCCTCTTCCTAGAGCAAAATCATCTCTGTGAACCTTCCAGAGTGCTTCCATCAACTCCTTTCCCCTGAGACCCTTTGAGGTTAATTCTGAAAAATCTCTTCTGCTCAAAAATAGAGTCTTGTACAAACCTTTGAAAGCTCTCATTGCTGCAACCATCTTATCCATGTTCCCAAAATATGTAGCTACGTAAGAATCACTGTTAATAGATACATAATAATCCAAAGCAGCTTTTGTATTGCCATGCATGTTTGTGAAGTCTTCTCTACTAAGAAGACTTGACTTAGTAACTATGTTAGTATAGGTTTCTGTAAATCCTTCAATTTCCATTAAACCATCTCCAGCTGCTAGGTATATATTTGTAGTTGGCGGGATGGAAAGAGATTCAAGTATTAAAGCCGTCTCATTAGGGGTAAGTGGACATTTCCCACGTAGTCTCCACATGCGGGCCAAGTCTCCCGTCCATGGTTTCCTGTCCACTTGTGCTGCCTCTATGGCTTTCATGGAAGCCGGAGAAAGGCCCCGATACTCACACTGGCTGTATGCAACCATGTCCGGCTCAAAACGAAGATGAAGAGACAAAAAGGGTTTAGGTATTGCATCTAGAAGCTGAGAGGCTTTCACTTCCAAGGATCTGGAAAGACGCAATGCTTTGTAACATGCTTGACAGAGAGCAGCTTTTGCATACAAAGGGTATCTGCAATGGTAGAAGAAAAAAAAGAAAAATCAAACTTGGTTACAATACTACTATGATAAATAATAAGGGGGAAGGAGCACATAATCTTAATTATTGATAGCCCCCATTTTTCACAGAATTTATCCATTATTGATGTTGAATAAAATCTTCTACCTTGTTCACTGAAGTTGCTTCCATGGTCATTAGTAATATGAGACAAATATTACAACTCAATTGAATTATTCACAAGCATTAAGCAGACCAATCCTTTTTGGCAAGCTCATAGCAACTGTCAATACTAAATCATCTTGAAAATCAATGGATGAAGAGATAGGCTATCAAGAATAAACTCACTTATAAAGTAGTGCTAAAATGCCAAAAATTTATCCATTATAACCATGTCATAATAAAGTGAAATCCCCCTGATAAATACAGAGAAAGAAAAGAAAAGGAATATTTGGAAGCAAAGGTCATTCAGCATGAATTTATTTGGATCAACAATGTCCAAGGTCCTTATATTTTATTAGCAATCAATTTCCGGTCTAAAGAACCAAAGATGAATCAGTTATCGGTGCTGATGGAAGTGAGACACGTGATCATACCTGTCCCTTCTTTGAGACATTGCTGGTGTGATTGAAATGTACTTGTGTTTTAACAAAGATGGAAGAACACTTTCAACGTAATCAAATTGCCCTTTCCGTTTGCTACAGTCCACATGAACAGGTTCTTTTGATGCAACCTCTGGTGGTAACTCTTTCACAACTTTGACAAAGCCATTCATATGCTCTATAAAATAGTCTACATCATATACATCTGCAAAACCGCTGAAATGGAACCAAGTATTCAGAAGGATAACTTAGAATAACATAGATCAGGAGATAAGATAACAAAATTTACTACTCAACCAATAAATACAACGTCAAGCAAAAATTTGCAACGTGTTCCAGAGAAATGGAAAGGTAAATTGCCTTGTTTCATTCCAATATGACGCCACTTCAAACTTTGGCAGGACGAGGGTTGCATTTAACAGACGAGCAATGCCCACACCGTCACAGAACTGCAACCAATGTAGACTTCATCTTAATTTAAGAAAGCAGCAAAAGAATATTGAAGCCTTTCTAAGGATTTGGAGTAGAAATTCATGAGTTTTTTTGAAGTACTCACATCTCTTCGCATCTGATTGAGGCCCCCATAGCAATCCACTCTGATATATCCGTTGGTTTCCAATGGTAGAGCTGCACCATTTCAAGAATAAACAAAAAAACGAAAGCAATTGTCTGCAATGAAAGCCAATTAAGGTTGATTCAGAAAATAAAAAGCCGGTCTGCAAGACTGCAACCCTCACCCACCCTCAACTCAACAAGTAACCCTATCCATTGCAAATCCAAGTCCAAATAACATTGGAAAGCCAATCCTGTGCCCCAAATTCCAATTAATAAACACACATGTAGATCTACTCATAGCAATTTTCCAGAAATTTTCAATTTCTATCCAGTTCTACCGATCCCTATACTAAATGCAAAATGGATCCAGTAATCACAAAGTTCATTCAATATAACAATTTTTAAATCTTCCAAAATTGAAATGTAGTAAAAACAAACATCAATGAATTTAAGTAAAGAGTACCTGTTTGATGGCCTTGTAGCCACCAATTGCAAGGTCTCCACTCCACGAGTCTCCGAACATTCCATATATCCACCTCCCCACTGCACGACACCAAATCATGCATCAGCAACAAAAAACAAAAAATGTTACTACCCAAGATACTTAGTCCAAAATTTGAAGGTGCCCAGCTGCCAAGTTGAAAGCTTTATAGCGGATTCAAGGCATAGGCATAAAGAAAAAGGGTATTGAAATTGTGAGCAACATACAGTGAGGGTTCCCCAGAAATAAGATTTTGGGAGAAAAGGGAAGGAGGCGAAAGCAGCGCGAAAAGGAAGAAGAGTGAGAGCGAGACGAGGAGGAGGATGAAGACAGGTTTTACAGAGATAACGACCATTTGATTTCACAGAACCGGTAATGACGATGTGTAGATCCCTGCGGTTGCACGACGAATGAATGACGGTGGAAATTTGGCTGGGCTCTATGCATGATACACTTGGTTTGGGTATTCATTCTACTACTACTTATTTTACATTACAATTTTTATTTCGTAAAATTTATGAATCTTGCTAAATTAGAAAATAATAATAAAAACCATTATTATTTGTTAATTACACACAGTAAAAGTTATATAATATTAACCAATAAAAATTTATTATGAGTTTGATTTTTACGCTTGTTAACATAGATTTTTATTATCAATTATAAAATTTTCTTTAGTATGATTTTTTAACTTAATTATCATAAAAAATATTATATATGAGAATTTATAATATAAAAGTGTGTCTTTGTATTTCAGTTTAAAACCATGCTAACAGTGAATTCGTCATTTTTTTAACTCATGTCGAGATGTTTTGAAAACCCCAATGTGTGCAAAAAGAACAACTATTATTAATATATAGAGTAGGTTTTTTTTATCACGAGTATGATTTAAACAATTATTATAGAAATCATACAATTTATCGTATAAGTGATATTTTCTTATATTATAGAGCAAAATAATAGAATGCCTTTATACAATATATTATTATTATTATTATTCTAACTTTAAAGTTTAAACGTGATATCTAAAATAACTATTAACTATACTTACTATAAATACCAATAATAAATGAAAAGTAGCATATTTATGTAATCCTCGAGTTATATTCTAGCAAATGAATTATGTTTTAATTGTGAAAATAATTAAATATAATTAATATGTAAATATAATCTAAATTTAGGTTAAATTTATAGATATGAAATTCTAGACTAAAAGATATTGAGGTATTGCGAAATATCATTAAAAACAACTTATATAGCGAGCTGCATTTTTTGCGGCGTAGCGGTGCTAATAGAACAATAATACAAGTTTCAAGACCTGAGTCCCATTAAATTATATGACTAACACTTAATAATTTAAATAAATAAATATTTAAAAACATATGTGAAACAATAATATTGTATACGTTATTTAAGTTGCAAGAAAATAATATTTGACCTCTTTGATTATTATACAGTACATTCTGGAAAGTTAACCAAAAGCTGTTTTTTTAAAAATCAATCGATAGCATAAGATCGATCATGAAATCTTATTTCCAGAAGTTTATTAACACATGGAGTGTTCCAACTTTAATTACCCAGAACAGGGATTTTCTTTAGGACATCGAATTAAGTTTGTGAAGAAGCGAAAATGTTTCAAGTTACTACTGACTGACAAGCGTGTATATTGAATTGAATATTCTTTTAACAGGTTCATATTGGTTTGTAATATTGAAGCTCAGAAGATTTGGAACTGTTGGTGATGAACAGGTAGTATTACTCTTGATATTATAAGTTATTGTTCAAACTGAACTAGCTAAACGTGCCAATACTTCCCATCCATCTTGAATTGATAAACTAAACCCAGCAAAAGCAAAGACACAAAAATAACTATTTATAGGGAAAAGAAATGAAGGAATTGCATAGTTCAATATTGCAGTCAGTCTATGTAATAAATTCTATGCTTGCTCGCTACCTACTAACCACACAGCGCAGTTCATTAAAGAACTTCCATGAACTTCATGCAGTGTGCTCTTCAGCATCTCCATTTTCACCATCTTCTGCAGCCGCAACAGCCATCAACTCATCGAAGTTTGCAGTCTTCCCCAACAATATTTCAATCTAAAACGTGATTTATCACGAAAAGTATTTACAAGGAAAGTCATCAAACCGACTGCAAATCCATAAACACTGGAAGGATTCATAAAATGTGTTTTTATCCTTACCTTGGCCTTCTGGACTGGTCTTCCTCTAGAATCATCTTTTATATCAACTGTTGATGTCATGATTTCTGCAAAAAGATTCCATCAGAATCAGGTCTGATTGTTCAATAATTAGAGACAGAGGAGAAACGGAGACATTTCCAAGAAAAAGGAGATTATAGTATCTCACTCTTTTCAACAGCAAGCCCATTGTTTTTCAAGATTTCAGCAACAGTAACCACTGTAGCAATAGCTGGAAAAAAAAAAGGTAAATAAAAAAAAAATCAGAAATAGGTTACAAAGGAATTACTCAATACATAAATTACCAAGTGGGCTCAGGCGTCTGTCACATTTTAATTGTCAAACCATTCTACAATCCCATAGCATAAATGTATCATATATGAATCTATAATTAAAACTATAAAGAGGAGTTCAAATTTGAATGGCCGTTAGAGTAGAACTTTAGGGTAGTCAGTAGTCAAAGAAACATCTAAGGTGTCTATACCGCGTGGTTCAACAAATAGCAACACAGTCATCATAGCTCCTCTACTTCCATGATTTATGCTTATTACTAACGATGCTATGTGTCAGCAAAACGATCCAACCTTCAGCTTATTTGGGATTTAAAATGGAACATAAAGCTGCATCCAGCATTACAATTAAATTTTGAAACAGATATGAACAGTTATAGGACTCAACATACTTAAATATATCCCTTCTCTGATTAGAAACTTGATTTGGGGTTTGTCTGATGTTAATTAAAGAGTTAAATTCCATTCATTCCACTTTATCCAATATCATTTATGTTCTTACTGTCCATACAGACAGAAAAGGCAGATAGCAAACAAGATACTTAACAGTATCTCTCTCATGAATGCCCTACTCAATTTGATAGAGTTGTACAGCTAAAGTTGACAATGCCGCAAAAGTTGACATTGATAGAGGGATAAACTGCGGCAGGGAGCTATGGTAAAAGGGGAAGGAATGGGAGAACAAGTACAAATCTACATGGATTTGAACCACACACATCTGTAACAGCATGGAGGCTGTAACATTAGGGACAGCATAGAAGATGATGGAGAGCGATGACAAATATTACTTGGGTGTACTAAGACAACTTCTAAGAAATTTTCTTTTATTTGGAGAAGGAAAATCTGCTCAATTCCATCAAAATGGGTTCTTCGATGAATATCTTACTTGTCCTCCATCGTAAATTTCACTTTACAATTTCTATCTACAAATACCGATATCTCAAAAGAGTAAAATTTTTGTTCTCTTTGAGAAACATACTACATGCTAATGGGTTAGGCTAATACAATTTAATCTGTCACTGCTGAGGGAAAACATATGGCGGATGGAAACCAAACAACACATTAACCACCTATTCAACAGGCCGAGGCCTTAAATCATTTGTGGAATTGTCTAAAACAAAATCCTACTTAGGTAACACTGCTTCCGGACAGCAGCATATTTCAATGTATACTGTTGATAAACACGTTATAACTACTCACATTGCCGAAATCGAAAAGCCCACATGACAAAATATGCACAAAAAAGATAGAAAATAGGTTTAAGATTTTATACCCATTCCCAGTGCTGAGAGCTCGACCTCATTATGCTGTTGCATGTACCTCTGAAAAAATAAAAAATAATTAAACAAAATACCAAAATCAAATAAAATCGGAATCCAACCTGTGCACAACAATTAAACATGACCCATGATTGAAAAAAAAGGAGGAGTTTGATATGAAGGAAAATGAGTACCTTGGCGAGATTAACGTAAAAGAATAGGGGCTTTTTGGTATTGGAGACCTGAATGCGATTCTTCTTATAAGCTTCAGAGATGTTGACGTTGTTCACTCCCTCCGTGATTGCTTCCATTTTTTGCTGTGACTGTGCAAAACTGGTACACAATATCAATACCAAGAAACCCTAATCAACCAAATGTTCCCCAAATCCAAATCTACTCCGTTGTTCTGATTCTGATGTGTAACCAGAAAAGGCCTAGATAGATATTATTGGATCATGTGGCCCATGACCATTTCTGGGCCGTATTCTGGCAGGATAATTTTCACAGTAAAATATAATTAGTTGAATAGAGTTTTAAAATATTAAAGTCATGCTAATACAATATTTGAAATTAAAAAAAAAGAACGTATCTAAATTTCAAAACTATGAAAAATTTATAATAAAAAATAGTTCAATATAATCAATTTTTATTGTTTCTGTCTCTCCTCAAACCCTAATGTTTTGTCGTGTTCGTCGACTGTGAACTCCATGTACGAGAATAGTAGTTTTTTCAAACTATTGTTTAAAAATTTAATTTTAATTACATATAAAGCAAATGAGAATTTTGTTCTTTTAAATTATTATTTTTGTCTTTAAACATGTTAATGAGAACATGTTCCATAACACATTTATATTTAATGTGATAGGCATGTGACTTAATAATAAGTACTTTTATTTTATCCTATAAAATGTGAGTCATGAATAAGCATGTTCAAGAAAATGCACCATAAGAATAAAAATATTAATCTCAAACTATTCTGGGCCACATATGGGCCCACGTACACAGTCTCGGAAGAGTCCAAAACTGGAATCTGGGTATGGTCCAAACGGTTGGAGACAAGGCCCAGACAATTGTTCCAGCACAAACATAAGAAACTTTTACAATTTTAACTACCGCATTAATCTAAGACACGGGACGCGGAGTTATGGAGAAATTAGATTTTGGCAGGTAACGTGTTTGACGAAATGTCGTGGACGAAATTGATGAAAACTGGGCGAACCAACATTTGGTAATTGATAAGGAATGGGATAGTCGTGTGCTGACACTGACGTTAATGAAGATGCACAAATGTTTGGAATGAATGAATGATACATTTTCGATATCTTCCCTCGAAGTAGAAAGAGAAATGCATTATGATTTATAAGTTAGGTTGGTATACCTCATAACATCACCAAAAAAACATGAGAGAATAGGATGTGGTCCTAATTCATTAAGTTCAGATGATGATGTGATTCTTACTTTACAACAATACAATATAATCATGAAACTAGCCTTCAATTCATAATTTAACTACAACACTTCATCTATCATAAATTATATTTTTTAATTTGTATTTATGATTTTGATTTCTTATATATATTTTTTTTTAATTTTGGTTTTATATTTTTTAAAAATTGTTTCATATCTTATTTTTTTGTACGTATTGCACCGATTAGATCTTTAAAGTATAAAAAATAAAACATATAAAATTGAAGAATGAACTAAAAATATAGAGTTTTTTAAATATAATTAAATCGAAAATAAGGAATTAAAGAAAATTCAATATATATATATATAATTCTTAATTTTATACAAATAAAAATATATTAATAGGCTTGAACTTATTGTCTTCAATTATTTCCTATTTTATTTCGGTTTTTAATAAAATTTCAGATAAATCGTTCATATGATCATTTAAAATAAGTTATCAGATAAAAGATTTTTATAAAAAACACAAATGAAGTTGTATGTAGATCAAAATAAAAAATAACATTGAGAGATATAAATAAAATATTAAAACTCATATTTTTTTTTCTCCTTGTCCTATTATATTATATTATTAATCTCAATGCTTGTGCTGAAGTTGGTTTTCTTGAATTAATTATTACTATAGAAAATTTCAAATTATATATCAGAAAGTCTATTACTAACCAGTAACCATGTCGTTGTGAACAAACAGCCATCAAATAATGGGCTAAAAAATAGTTCCATCCCTAAATACCTGCTCTACCTTTTATTTAACAAACTAGAAACAACAATTTAAACGAAAACAGAATATAAATAAATATCTAACAGTCATTTTTTTTTTTCTAAATTCATGCAACTTTTTAAAAAATATCATGTAATCTATTAAAACATTTATTTAAATATAGCGTCATATTATATTGAAATATTTAGATATTTAATAATTTATGAGGATAAGATTTTGTCTTGTCATAAACTAAATTAATTAATGTTTCATAGTGGATGACACCCCTCAACACATTAATTAGTTCAAACCAAATTAATTTTCTACGTTAGTTCAAAGCAATATTAAATGATACCAAATTATTTTGTTGGTATATTATCACATGAACAATATAAATTCTTTGATATAAAAGGGACCTTTATTTTCTTCTTTTTAAGAACGTTTCCAGCAATGAAATGTAGCAAAAACAACATTATTATTTTATGTATAAAATATACCATAAATTTAAGAATAACGACATTAATTCACATGTATTTGTTTTGTCAAGAGAATCTTTATTATGAGTGTTTTTTTTTTAGTTTTTAATATATTTTGTTTTAGAAAAAAAAAAAGTGTAAGAATAATTGGATGCATAAAAGCTCACGTGCCTGTGCATGCAAGCTCACGTGTCACAACCACGCACACAGTGGTAAGATCCTAGTCAGCATCGTGTAGTTGATGTAATCGACAAAATACGTATCTGACACGTACCAAGAGAAGGGACACGTGGCGCAAAATAACGGCTTCCGTGGTTCTATATAGTGCAGTACCAGTTATGCTATTTCCGTGACAATCTTTCTACCTACTCTCAATTTTCCACTTTCTTTCTTCTTCCACTCTTTTTCGTTCTTGAGATTGTCTTTTTGATTTTGTTGAGAGGATTTTTTGGTCGACAATGAAGGACAACAGTGTGGAAAACCCTCTGCGCCTTCAGTCTGTGAACCATATCTCCCTCATATGCAGATCAGTGGAAGAATCAATGGATTTCTACCAGAACGTTCTTGGGTTTTTCCCCATTAGGAGACCTGGTTCTTTTGATTTTGATGGGGCATGGTAATTGGTTTCACACACATCATGATCACAAACCATTAAGATCAAAATCTTTTAACTTTTCAACTAAAACGAATGAATGCCTTCATTTTTTTTTAAGATAAAAGAGATATTATTTAAGTAAACATGATGAGACATGTAATCTATGCAGATTTTTCTTTTTACCTGATATTTGTTGGTTTCTTTTCCTAGGTAGATAACTTTGGTGGAGTTTATCATTTTCTATGTTGTTACTTTGCAGGTTATTCGGCCACGGGATTGGAATTCATTTACTAGAAGCAGAGAATCCAGAAAAGTTGCCGAAGAAGAAGGAAATTAACCCAAAGGATAATCATATATCTTTTCAGGTCAGAATATTTTCACCTAGTTACTGTGAAAAATTGAAAATCAACTTCACATCAAGTTGGACATGTTTCTAGGAGCAACAAAATTAAAGAAGTACATTGATTTCTTTTGAAGAAAAAAGAGATCAATCCCGAGATAAAGATCAATCATTTAAATTAAGATATATAAACAAGGTTCACAAAACGATAGACAAAATCATGATCCTTTCATTTTTAGCCATCGTCACTTCTTACTTTGTATTTGCCTACACGTCTGATTTCTGATCACTTGTTCAGAAAACACACAAAAACTTTTAGTACAAAAGCGTTTTGCAGTTAATTCTGGACTTCCTTTAATGTTATGTAGCTATCATCAGTTCTACTTGCTTCGTATTTGCCTACACTTCTGATTTCTGACCACTTGTTCAGAAAGCACACAAAAACTTTAGTAAGCGTTTTGTAGTTACTTGTACACATTCTTTTAGTGATACGTAGCTATTATTAACTGGGAAAGTTTGCTTTGACATGTCCGAGTGAGATAATTGAGCTGACAAGTTTTGCGTGCAATATTGTTGTTCTTACTTTGTAATTATCTACACTTCTGAATTTTCTTTCTGTCACTTCGGCAAGGGTAGGGAAAAGACAAACACACGCACAAAAAAACAAAATTATTATATGATTACATACACGAGTGCTTTGCAGTTACTTGTACGCTTGTTATAGTGTCGTGTAGCTGCGGTGCCACTATAGTTTGTTTTGACGAGATAACTGTGATGAAGATATTTATAACATGTGTGATTTGTGGTTGAAAGTGTGAGAGCATGGCAGCAGTGGAGAGGAAGCTGAAGGAGATGGATATTGCTTATGTGCGAGCAACGGTGGAGGAAGGTGGGATCCAAGTGGATCAACTATTTTTCCACGACCCTGATGGCTTCATGATCGAGATATGCAACTGTGATAGCCTTCCTGTGATTCCCTTGGTCGGTGAAGTAGCAAGATCATGTTCCCTTGTGAATCTTGAGAAGATGCAGAATCAGCAGCAGATACAGAACATGCTCCAACAACTGTGATGATCAGAGGATCTGAGAGAATCCATGCGGATCAGCAGTAGTTGTTAATTTTTATCTTGCTGAGTTGTTAATTTATCATGTTGTTTCTTGTGCTCAGTTTGCATTGTGATATAATCATAGAATAAACAATTTGCCAAACAGAGTAGTGTGCTTTTCCAACGATTCCAGTGTTAGAAAGTGGAGTTTGCCTTGCTGGTCTTTGTTTTAAGTCTCTAGTTTTTGTAAAGTATTTACTTTAGCACTTAACTTGGTGATCATCCACGTTCACATGACAGCAAATTGGAGATTAATAAGCATTCTTTTCTTTAAACAATGAACTTCTTGTTATCAACTTGTAAAAACTGTCAACATTGCTCACAATAAGCATCCAATGTTTTTATTAATTATACGTTAGTCATCATCAAATTGTAAAAGTATTCCATCTGTGAACATTGTTCAGTGTGCATGTATATCACTGGGTCCATTCACATTGAATGAGACCAAGTCAAGATACATGATTGGAAAAGTCACAGCTGTGAAACTAGAGAACTTTTCAAGAACAATTAAGAAATGTTGCATATTAGGTAACCCTAATAATGACCACTGTTTTGTTTTTTAATCCATCCATTGTTGCATTTCCGCATAAGGGATTTGGTGGTCCATTCAGATTCCTTCAGTCTCATTGCCATTGGTGAAGAATTTGGAAGGAACTCCAAGTCTGGTCCAAAGCGTTAAAAAGTTGTTGTGTCATTTTGATTGGTACAATTCAGTCTCTTATTGGAAGAGGATTTTAGAACATAGCATCAAAAGAGTCCTTTAATATATCTTTAATCTACATTATACACGTTATAATATTTCAATTCAATATAATATGAAAAATCATGAAATTAAAAGTAAATATTATTTACGATATTTTACATAAATCCAATTGCACCGTCTAGAATTAAAACATCTATTATTTTGAAAATATACTTGATATAATAATAAGCTTACTAATCACATATATTAGATAGATAATTAACGTGAAATGGTCACATATTGAAATTTTAAACATATAATTATGTTAAAAATCTAGATAAATGATATATTACTCAAAGTAATTTTACCTTATTCCAATGTCTTGCATAATGAATAAATGTGATTTCTAAGAATAATTCGAACAATATTAATAATGTTTTTCTACTTGCGTATAAATATTAATACCCTTCAATAAAGCTCGAGAGTAAACGAAGTACATTTATTCTTATCTTGAATGAGAGTGTCTTACGAAATTATTATTTATCAATGTAAGAAATAAAAATTATAAATACAGTAATTAGATTATGTTTGGATAGCTAAAATACAAAAAATATAAATAAATTTTTAATAAATATATAAGAGAGTTTGCTTAACAAGATTTCTAATTTTACCTTATCACAGTACTACATATATGGTCCAATTGCATTGCCAGAAACAGAGGAATCTCTCATTCTTCAATCAATTAAGGTTAATTTAATCAATACATAAACTAATTACTTGTTATCTAACTTCTCTTTTGTGAATAATCGTAAACATTCCCTTGTACTTAGAAATTAAAAGAAAAAGGGTGTGGTTCTCTGCATCTCTCAGGGCTCGGAAATCAGAGATAAAAAGAAATATCAGATAAATGATATGATAGAAGAGAGAGAGAGAGAGAGAGAGAGAGAGAGAGAGAGAGAGAGAGAGAGAGAGAGAGAGAGAGAAAGAGATAAATATAACTTATACAAAGACTTTAATTCCTCACATTCCTTGTAATAGGAACAATTAACACAACGAAATAAGAACAATTAACACAATTTATAATACATACATAACATTCTGCATTAAACTATACTAGGCATAGCCACAAATGCAACTATTATTTTGACATAAACTTGAGTATGATGCAGCTAGTGTTCCCTGGAAAGCATTTGATTGTGATTGTCTATGGATTGAAGCCTCTGAAGTAGCAGATGGTGCCTGAAGTTCTTGATGAAGGCATCAGCACTGGCGTTGATGTCTTCAGTAGCCATGTTCTCTACTTTCTTTGCATGTGTCTCTTTCTTCTCTTCCTTTCCATGATCCTTTGGAAAACTTTCATGATGATTCATGTAGCTCCTTCCCATTGTTGTTGCTTGCTTCTGTAAGTGATGTGCTGCAATATATTGAATGAATGTGGATGCTTTGTAACCTCATGTGTGCTTCCACATATATATACTCATACCAAGCAAAAGGGAATATGTAGTTTCTTTCTCTTTCTTACCTTTTTCACCTTTGCCTCCTCCACCCGTTTGGTCATCCCTACAATTCAAAGTCAAAGATTGGTGACAAACATATAATATGCTTAGAAGTTTCAAAAAGGTAAAAATTTAGGTCTAGGTTTTAGGGCTTGTAGAAGTTTCCTCTTTAAGTATGTCTTCTTTTCATCAAAATCTAATATAGTGTGATTTTATATAATTTTGATTTCCAAATTAAAAAATAAAAATAAAAATCTTACTTTTAGCAAAAAATATAATTATAAAGTTTGAGTTTTTAGAGTGTTATGAGAAAAAAGAGTTTTTTTTTTAATCATCAAGGAAAGAAGAGTCTTCAAAGTTGTAAAAATAATTTTTTAAATACTATTAAAAATATTATTTATACAAAAAGCAAATAATGGTAAATGGGTGATAAAAAAATTTGACCTTTTATTTTATGAATCAAGTAAACGGTTTTGTTTAGTGTAGTGGCCAATTCAATTTCCTGGCTATAACAAAAAAAATAATAATTTCTTTGTGCGTTTTAAAGATATGTTTTTTTTTTTTTTTGCCTGAAAGCAGTAAGTAACCCTTCAAAGCTTCTTGTTTGTTGAGTCAAATAACATTGCTGCAACTTTTTATTTAATTGTATGGAGAATCTAGTGCATTTAAGATTATTTTGACATATTAGGAAATTTGACAAATTGTTAAAAACTTAACATATGCTTTTAGGATATTGATTGATTAGAAAAAAATAGTTTTTTATTAAAAATTCTTACTATATTGAAACTATATATTTTAAGTAATTAAAAAAAATTAATATAATATATTTTATAGTTCGTAATAAAATAACATAAAAATCAAATTCGAATTCTTTTAAACTATATTGATATAAGAATTTTGTTGATAAATAATTTTCATTAAACTGACATATTTTTGTAGTGGAATCTTTTTTTCTCCTAATCAATTTTTTTTATACATAAATTTCGAATCTAAGACTTTGTTTGCTCTGACTAACAAAATGTTCATAAGTTTAATTAAGTGTAGTTGTACAATTTTGTTTCTTCCTCATCATAGCTAATGTCTACTTTTATTCTATAATATGTATTTTTTATTTAGATCTAGTTCTTTAATTATTTTAAGCTATCAAAACCAAGTTCCTAACTTTTTTTAATTAATTATTACAATTCAGTTCTTCAATTACTTTTCTTTTATTTGAAGACTTTCAAGTTTCAATTTTCTTTTGTTTCTTTTCAAAATAATATTATTACAAACTGATAATGTATATTCGAAAATCATAAAAAAAATGTAGCGACTGAATTTCAATAATTAGTTAGAATGCACTTAGAGACCAATTTTCCGTCTCTAAATGATTAAAATGTAATTAGAGACTATTTTTTAATTTCTTACTAGTAATTTAAAAACCTGTAATGTCTTTATTTTCTGCATTAATGACAGGTGAATATCCCATAACATAATTATACAAAGTAATAACACTTAACTAATGTTTATATCAATCCATATACATTTAACAAATAAATATTGTGCACTAAGTAAGTGTGACAATTTCTGCTACATGTTTTCTTAAACCTAATAAATTATAATCTGAAACCTGGCATCTGCACCTACCTGCCTAACTTAAGACGAGTTGAGGAGATAGATTCAGTGCATGCAATTAAAGAAGTTCCTCCCAAGAAAAGTAGAAAAAATATAACATGATTCGTTTATATGCTGATGCCCATACAAACGTGGCAATGATTATGGTGGCATTGGAATTTTTTTATGCTCATGTGGTTTTCATCAAGTTACAGAACTCTCTACATTCAGTAATAGAAATGCCAGAAATTTAAAGGTAGAAGCCATCTTAATTATTTTATAGCTCACATCCCAATGAAAAAGTGCTTTATGCAGTTTCTTGCCATTGGTGGGGACTATTTTGCTAACAAATAGAAGAATCTTGAAAGGGAAAAGGCCAGGGGAACTCAGAACAAATTTTATACGATTTAGACATATGCATGTAATCAATGAAAAACGTGTTGAGGTCTGAAAAACATGATTTAATTAGCCACTGGTTTTTTACTTTTTGTTCCTTATAACTATGAAATTTGGTGGCATCTTATAAACATTATTCTGTAGGATTAGGGTCATGAAAATGACTTGAACTCTATCATGTGCTAGATAGGTTCCAATTTAATCGATATCCAATATTTACTTGTACATGGATAGATCCTACGTAATCATTTCAAATTTGTGAAGGAAATTAGAAAAAAATAATTAACATAATAGTTAGACCATAAAAATTGACTTAAAAGTTTGTATGAAGGCTCGTACATCTTCATGTATTGTTATCGTTCTCCATATCCACGTTAAATAGTTAAAATATCTTTTTCATAATTTTAATTTTTATTCTAACTTCTTTTTTTATTTGTGTATAATTTTTGTACCTCTATCTCTCAACATCTCCATCTCTTAATTATTTTTGTTGGTTTATTGAAGACATTTTTTAACAATTAAAAATAAATAATCATTAATATTATATATAAATTATATATTTCTACACTCAAATTATATAAGTAGATTCAAATTATTTAATATAAAACAATATTATAAAAATAAAGTTAAATTCTAAAAAAAATTAATTTGAAAATGTATTCCAAATTGATTTTTCCAAAATATATTTGTGAAAAAATTAATATGAAAATATATTTTAGATTAAGTATTCTGAAATGTATTTTTAAAAAAACTAATCCAAAAATGTATTTTATAACACTTAATTAAGAATGTATTTTTGGATTAATCTTTTTTCAAAAATATGAAATACTTAATACATAATATATTTTTAAATTGAAATTTTTGAAATATCTAATTTAGAATATATTTTTCAATTGACTATTTTGAAAATGTATTCCGAAAAGAGTAGAATAAATGTTTAGAGTGTGTTTCAGGAAAGACTATTCCGAATTACATTTCAACTATGAAAGTGAAGATAAGAGTGAGGATACAGTGGGTGTTCTGGAAGAAATAGCCTTTTAGGCACAAGAAGAAAGCCCAACAATTATTTTTGGTCCGGTCCAAACATTCATATGTTATCCTAAAAAAAACATCCTTATGTTGCTAATGAGTTTAAAAACAGCACAACCCATGAACACTCCCTTGAGGTGGTTGGTGGTGAAGATTTGCATTACAATCTGCACAAAGCGAGAAAAAAGGGCATGGAAGCCTTGCACTTGCACCGCGTGCTTCGCATGGTTGTTCCCCAAAACTTCATCTTTTTGCGCTCAATAGCCACCCCATTATCCACAATTCCCATTGCAAGGCCACCATTACGTTGGATCTCAGTATCCTCCCAAACTTGCAGTGCCAGAGCAGGGTGGTTTTTGGGTCTTGGAGCAGATAACAAGAAGACAAATTTACCTGACATCGTCAAAGCCGGTGACCCTGTTCTGCACGAGCCCGCCCGGGAAGTTGATCCCAACGAGATAAAGTCGGAGAAAGTGCAGAAGATCATTGATGACATGGTTCGGGTCATGAGGAATGCTCCTGGAGTTGGTCTAGCTGCTCCCCAGATTGGAATTCCTTTCAGGGTCTGTTCCATTCTTCCTAATTTTGTGTTTTGTAGGTCCCCCATTTTAAGTTAAAAATACGTTTTTGATAATAATCCCACTAAAAAAATATGGTTATCCAGTCCTAAGTGCTCAAGCTGTAGTTATTTTGAGAAGGTAGCAAATTTAGGATGAACTTACTTCATACTGGTAGGAAACCCTAAATATAGGGACAATTGAAAGTGAATTGGTGCATCTCATTCATATAATTGTACTCCAACTTACAAAGTTCTGCCCTTTCCTGTACTAAGAAAGGGCGTTGAAGGCTTACCTTGCAAATCCCAAAACTTGTCCAAGATACTAATGTTGGTTGCAACTTTGTTTTTTAACAATATGCTGATAGTTGAAAGCAAGGAGGTTTATTTTGCTAGAATATTCTGATGTCTCTGCACAATATGGAGCTGTGTGAAAACATATTTCATTGTGTTTTCCTGTATGCAGATAATTGTTTTGGAAGATACCAAAGAGTTTATTAGTTATGTCTCGAAGGAAGAGGCTAAAGTCCAAGATAGAAGACCTTTTGATCTTCTGGTATGTCATATTAAGGAGAAGGAGAGTATTCATTTTAAATCTACATTTTTGCCCTTAAGGTCTGTTACTTTAATACATCATTCATTAGTTCTCTTGAGGCAGGTCATCCTAAACCCCAAGCTAGAGAAGAAGAGCAAGAAGACTGCTCTATTTTTTGAAGGATGCTTGAGGTGTGTCCTTTTGTCTTTGCTAGATTATGAATTCACTATTTGAGACGAGAGTAGAAACTATTGTATACTTCTTCTAGGAAATTTGTGCAGGTCTTATTTTCAACATTTATTGCACTCAGCCTCTCTAGGCTATTGATCCTTTCATGGGAAATGGCTAAAATTTTTTTATCTGAGACCAAGATCATACCCACTTCTTAATTACTGGAAGAAGACCTAATCATGAGATGCAGGCAAACAATTTGACATTATCAAATGATTTTGCTTAACCCATTCTGTTAAAGAGCGTATGTGCCTCCATTTAAACAATTGCTTCAAAGATGATGTGCTAAAGAGTATAAATAATGCATAGTAATAGCAGTTTTGATAGAACTAACTTAGATGATTGTTAGCATATGCATTGATAATTCCAAAATTTACAGGATGTTTATTCATTAAATACTAGTCTGAATGTTTGATCTCTTACTCAAGTCTGGCTTACTCACCTTATGTATTCCGATGTGAACCTGCAAATTGTTTTTGTTTTAATAATTTGATGTCTAATATTCAGGAGGTTTGTGGACATCCAAACTTTAAGCATTCCTAAACTATGATTTGTTAATAGTGAATGAAGTACCATAAGTATAATGCATGACTGCAATTCCCGAAGTGATATGTGCAACACTATTTTGAGATATCTTTATGTAATCTTATGCCATGTTTGAGTGAGATTTCTTCCAACCTGTTAGGACTCAAATGACATTACTGGATTATTTATGCTGGCAATAGCTTTTCCAATATAGTATAAGTCAGCATTTAAAAAACCAGTATACAAAAAAGGAGATGCACTAACAGTGTATGCAGCAATATTGTGAGCAACCATGTATGCTCTACCATACATCCTGAATTGTTATAACATTTTGCAGTGTTGATGGGTTTAGAGCAGTGGTGGAGCGATCCCTTGACGTTGAGGTTACTGGTTTGGATCGCAATGGTACGCCAATCAAAATAAAGGCTTCTGGCTGGCAGGCCCGGATTTTACAACATGAGTGTGATCACTTGGATGGAACTCTGTATGTTGATAAGATGATACCTAGAACTTTCAGAACTGTGGACAACCTGGACCTGCCTCTTGCTCAGGGGTGCCCCAAACTTGGTCCTCGTTAACCCTGGTTTTCAGGTTCCCATTGTCTTCTGTAAGGGCATCTCCCTCCATGCTAAAAATTTTCATGAGTTTTTTTGATACATAATTGTGAAACTCACCTTGTCATGTCATAGTTAATATTTATCAAATTTTAACTTCAATGCTAGAAAATTCTAAAATCTCTATCCCTCTGACTTTTCTTTTTTTCCAAATTCCTTCTGCTTCTCTCTCCTCCATCCCCTTCAGCTGCAGTCTACTTGTTGAGAGAAAGAAAAAATTAAGCAACATTTGCATATTGAAGAAACTTTCATAGTTTTTATGTAATTTCAATGTCAGATTTCCTTTCTTTCTCTAATAGTAAAATTGCCTGAAACAAGTTCGGAAGTTCTAGGGAATTGAATACATATTTCTGATGCATGTTGTTAGTAACTTCTGTAAATCCTAAACGGAGACCAGATCCAATGCCACCATTTTGCCAAGAATACACCAATTGTGGATAATCTCATCCTCCATTGATAAGTCCATATTCTAAATACGAATAATTACCAATTCTAAATCATCTGTTTTTGCCTATTTTTATGGTCAATTTGTTTTTTACATAATGTAAAAAGTCTGGTTATCATCATGCGATGCGTGTTAATCCACCTAGAAATATTCCATTTCTGATTAAACATGGAGGTGAAGAATCACAGTAACATTGATCTACTATTATTGGTTTTGACACATTTCTGAACAAGATATTCTAGAAATTGATCTTTGATACGAAGCCACCGCCACCCCAACGAACATATGAGGCGAGTCAATAGAAAGAAAGTGCTACAATTTATCAAGAAAGCTTACTTGCCATTTTTTTATCCTCACCCATCACCAGTGTTATCACGTTAAGCTCCTTTGACATTTACATCTTCCTTAAGGAAGAAAATAATGACAGAAAAAAGCTTTTAATTCCTTAAGGAAAATCTTTCAATGATGTTTTTATTTTTAAATATAATTATCATTTTTAATAAATATTATTCCAGGATAATTTATGGAAAATATTTTCTTTATTATATGAAAATAAAAATTATACATAAATTAATATGAAAGCAAAGTATATATATTTAATAACTAAAATTATGATAGAGCAATACATTGTTAAATCATTGTACATTTTTTTTGGGACATTAGAACATAAATGAAAGAAAGTACAGTTGTACATAAGAGAACATCGACGGTCCAATTCGGCGGCGATGTTGTTGTAATTGTGTGTAGGCAACCTTTTTTTATTCATTATTCAATGTCCAACGACACCACAACCAATAAAATCCAAAACATAAATAGTTACCATATTCCACCCCATTATATAATACAAAACAAAAATTATTGAATGCAGCACGTAAACATTAATGGGTAATAACTTTTACTTTCCCAGCATCAATAATTTTTTATATAGAGGGAGATTAATTCAACCATTGAATAACTTTTTTATTTACAGTGATTCCTGGAACCAGTAATCAGTGATCACATAAGTACGTCATGATTAAGTGATTGCGTTCACTTTTTTTCTTTCTCTCTCGTGCAATGAACACAACTTGTTCTGGTATGTCCCATGAAACTGATGGAAATGGTCAAGTGGGATAAACCATGTTGATTTCCATTTCGACAATTTTGTTTTTTCAACTTTCTAATAAGTTATAGGCTGTATATATATATTTATTTATTTCTTATAATAGTTTATATCATCATTTTTCATATATTTTAATTTTAATAATCATTAAAAATAAAATAAAACTTAAACTTAATATTGGAGACAAAAGAAGATTCAGAACCACCCACGTAGAGTTCAAGGATTAAAATAAAACTCGGGTTTGATTTTTCTTGTTACTAACTTTTGTCTAATAAAACATTCCCTTGAGCTGAGTCGTATAAGCAGTCAACTTAATGTTTTGAGTTTTGACCATAGATATAGTTTAAAATGAATTTCAATAATTCAAAATTATTTGACTAATTGAAAAAGAAAAAACAAATTCAACACGCTAAAAAAAATAAAATTCATTCCCATATAATTTACCATTTAATAGATACGATTTAAAGTAATTTAAAATTATTTTTGTATATAAAATAAAAATATTAAATAAATTTAACTAACGTTCGAAACTATATTTAATTTATATTTAATTTTGAAAGGAATATATATAATATTTTAAACTTCAACGTGCTATTTTAGAACCAACTGAAGAAAAAAATAAAGGAAAATAAGTCAAGAAGTTTTTTAAAGATGTATTATTTATTTCATTGTTTTCTTAATATATATCTATAATTACCTATAACCATATTTAATTAAGAAAAATAAGGCATTTGTAATTATAATTAAAAAAAAAGCAAGAAGAAAAAAGCATTTTAATCATTGGATGTGTTGATGTTCTTCACACCAAAGATTAAAGTTTAAAGATGGCAATAATTGCTGAGCGGAATTATTAACAATAACACATTCACAAAATAATTTTTTTTTAAAGTGCGTGAGATAATAATAATAATAATAATAATAATAATAATAATAATAATAATAATAATAATAATAATAATAATATTATTATTATTATTATTATTATTATTATTATTATTGATAAAATTCTATTGTTTTTGTATATCGATAGAAGGAACAAAGAAACAAACACAAGAAATTTGACCTTACGCGTCTTCCCTTCTGTTTGCAACCGACCACAAATTCAGAATAAGCGAAAACAGAACAACTCAGAGGATAGGGATGCTTTGGAACCATGGAGGATATTTTTTTGTTTATACATTATACTTTTTCTTCATTTATGCTAGATATTGAAATTCCTTATAATTATGATACCATTTATAGAAATTATTTTATGTGGTGTTCAGAAGATATTGATTGCATTGCGTTCATCCTAAATTTGAACAACCATAATCATGTGAAAAATATTATTGGAGATTTACTTTATACAGAGATCAAAATTCAATGTCGACCCAACAAATATACACATAATTACAGTCACAAACCATTCATCTTCGTCATCGTCATATCTTGTTCCACGACACAATTCAAAAATGAAACAAGCAAAAACTTGTGAAGAAATAAACAGAGACGCAAAAGAAAAAAACAGAGACCCACTACAACGATTCACCATCCTCTTCTTTCTACCATACATACCTATAAAACCGGAGATGGATGTTGGAGACTCTCACGAACCCATCTCCGGCCACAGGAAAAGCCCTACCTGGATCGGTGCTTAGCAGCGGGCTTTGCGCCGCGGCGACCCTTTTCCCCTGTTTTAGAGAAAGCAGTGCAGAAGCCGCAAGCAGAGAGCTTGGGAGAGGGAGGGTCGATCGCCGGCGTGAGTTTTCCGGTGCGGTAGCCGCCGTTGGAGCGGGTTCTCTGGATGGTGGTGTTGGGTGGTGGGGTTGTTTTTGTGTTAAGGTTGTCAGCAACCGCAGCCTTTGTGTCTTGGTGTTGGTCGTTGTTGAGTTCAGCAGACACTAATTTGTCGTCCCAAACAAGGCCTGATGAACCTTGTCTCCTGAAAGACACCGCAGATCTTTGCAAACCAGCCATCACCTTCTGTTTCTCTCTCTCTCTAGATATGTGGATGTTTCTAGGTCTAGCTTGATTTTATGTTCTTCTTCTATGCCTCAATTCCTCTATACGCTGTTTCTTCAATTGTATATGTATATATATATATATATAATGGAAAAGATTCACACTATTACAAAGGAGACGAGTCAATGTCTGTTGGGATTTTACCCTTTTTTTTTCAATATTCATTATTCTCTTTTTCTTTTTATATTAAGTTTAAGGGCTAAAAAAAAAACAGTCTTGTTGGGTTTAAGAATAGAATTATTTGTTTGTCCTAAAGTCAATTGCAACATCAGTTGTTTGAAGATAAGTAAAGGAGAGTGGTTTAAGTTTGATAAAAGAATTTGAGGAAAACTTTGAGATAAATACGTACCTAAACAGAATGAATCAAGGAAGGAAAATCCACCACGTATGATTTCATTTCGGGACAAAACTTCCTCTTTCATAAATATTGTTCTTGTTCTTATCCAATTGTAATTATAAAGTTTTATGTTAACAATATATCTTATTAAATGTATTACATTAACCAAATAAAACTTTAATATACGATAGAAAGATTTGTAATAATATTTTATATTTTAATAGCTTCTAATAAGTAATAAAGATACAATTAGAAAGAGAGGTATAGGAAAAAGAAAAAAAAAAAAAATCTAACGTACAAGCCTTTTAAGATAAAAATAAAATTGTTGGCATGGTCCACAATTATATACGAAATGACCCCATAATTATGTTCTTCAAATTTGGTAAGCTACCATATAATGAAGACAAAGAAGGGCAAGAATATATGGTTAGCTTACTTTAATTATTCAAAACATAAACATTAATAAAATTAATATAAAAGTTGTCATAATCATGACTATCATTATCGCTTCATCAATGTAATGAAAGATTGCTCAAGTAATGGATGACCTTTTTCATGGGTTGTCATGGAGACCATCATTCAACTACACATTCAAACTTCAAATACAATATCCAAACCAAATTTACATTTTACTTTCTACAATGATTCTCACCATAGGGAAAAACCACTTAATAAAATAACCATATTGATTAAACATTAAAAAAAAGTAAACTATTTTGGGCAAATACCAAATTATAAGCATCAGATACATCATTACAACTTGGGTTTTTAGTAAATGTCAGAATTTAAAAATTACATAAACTAAACTAAGCCTCTTACACTTTTCACAATTCCACCTCTATAACTTAAAACTTGCACCAAAAAGCACTAGTTTTAATAGATAAGAGAAGAAGCAAGAGTTGGATGAAGAAGTGCCCCTCTAATTGGACAATGGGGCAATTGTTTTCCCTTGATGTAATGACACCCATCAACCCAAATCCATTCCCACCTACCCATAACTCCTACCCTTTTGCAAACCACCATTCCATTTCCAAAATTCTTGTACAAACAAATACAATCCTCATTACCCACACACTTTACACTCTCCCAAACTCTCTTCCCTCCCAACAATTTCAACCCTAATTCAAGTGGCACCTTCTCCACCAAGCACCACTTATCACCTTCACTAAGCTCCCAAATGGAACCACTCCCCCCACACGTGCCACCCACTAATCCCAATGCCCCATTTCTCTTAACAAGCGTGGCAAACTCTAGCCTCTCAGCCATAGGCACACCCAATTCCCTCCACCCATTTCGACCAACGTCGTATCCCATAACAGTATAGGCTCTGGCCGAGGTTACCCAATACAATCTCTCTCCAATGCACACACTCTCATTGGGTGTCCACACGGTGAGCCTAACGGCGATTTCCACAGGGGTCGAACCCACCACCTGCCACGTGTCAACCCTTGAGTCGTACATCTCCACCTTGGTTTCATACGTGGCGCCACCTTGTGCTGCCTCCGACATGCCACCTGCCACGTAAACTTTAAACGAAGGCAACCGAACATCATCCTGAGATGAATTCGAATTCGACAGTGTGACTCCAATGGCAGGGTTGGTCCTTGCAGCATGCAACCGGGGAAGGTGCTTGAACTCGCCCGTGAAGGGGTTGCAAAGACCCAATTGGAGGGTTGTGGAATTGATGACCTTTAAGAGGAGAAGACCCCCAATTGAAGCAATTGGTCGAATTGATGGGAGTGGTAGAGAGAGTTGGTGCCATTTGTCTATGGTTGGATTGTGAGCATAACAACAACAGGGTCTATGGTTGCGAGTTGGAAGAGCCAAGAACCATGAAGAGGTTGTTGTTGTTGCAGATGTTGAGGCTATAGGATATGCCTTGGAACAAGTGTGCCAATTCTTGCAAACTGATCTTGCTATGGCTAGTGAGTCTGGGGAGAGAAAGGAGAAGATTTTGGCTAAGAGATCCAAGGGTAGGTTGCTCCACATTGACATACCCAAAATGGGTGATTTCAATCTGAAGGGTGATGGTTATCAACTTAGCATATATATTATTTTATGAACAAGTGAATTGCGATTTACCAATTACCAACTGTGGTTTCTGATGATAACATACTTGGGATCTTCATAATAAGGTTATTTACAGTGGAAAACATCTACTTACCTTAAATCTGTCAATTTTTTTTTTATGAAACTCTGTTACTTAAAAATGATATCTTTTTTTTTACTGTAAGTTGGTGGAACTCCACACGAGACGCCAATAATTGCATTGAGATTTGTGACCCACATGCATTGGGGAGCTTTGTCACCCCACCCACTTGTTTGTGAACTTTGTCACTTTTGATTTAATATCTGAAACCAAAATTGGTTTGGATGGTTCTTGGAGATAGCCAAAGGGTGAGAGAATATATTCGACTTCTAATGCTCAACTTCAACATGAAAAATTCATTAATTTCTTCTCCTTTTTCAGAAAAGCAAATTGAGTTCCTATAAATGTTCTATTCTTTTGTATAAAGGTTTTACTATCTTGTTTTTGTAAAGATTCAAAATCAAAAGTGTTGTGTATTATTAGTTCATTGTCACAAATTTAAGTTTGTGAACAAAAGGATAATGATTTTAAGTACAAAGAAAACGGGCATGAATTATTTGAGCTGTATTGTATGCATTGTCATTGCTTGTATCAAAAGCAAAAACTGCATCTATTGCTCAATTAATTGATTGATTGATTGATTAATTAATTCTTAGTGCTTTGCTTAGAACCTTATCATCAAGTAAGATAGTCAAAGATAAGGTGATATAGGTTAGGTTACTGTCAAGAAAGAAAATTTTGCGTCTTAAATTTGTACGCTATGGTGAGTGTGTTTTAACAGATTTGAAATTGACATTATATCGTTCTTAATATTTATGTGAAAACTAGTAATTTGGGCCCTTTATCACTTTGCATGCAAGCCCAATTTTTCAATATCGTGTAATTTTTTTTAGGCTGTAACGTAACATCTTTTAAATTTTGGCTCATGTACCCCCTAATTTCTCTCTACACCTCTATATTTCAAATCAAATATCTAAAATATTATTTTTCTTAATTTTGTTTTTTATCCTAACTTCTTCTACACCTCTATCCCTCAGCCCCTCCATTTTCTGGCTATTTGATTTTTTTATATGTTATTACTTCTATTGAAAACCTTTTCTAATGAAAGGTAAATAATAATTAATATTATGTATGAATTATATATTTTTATACTTAAATTACATAAATAAATCCAAATTATTTAATCTAAAACATCGTAAAAATGAAGTTGAATTCCATAATACCCAATCCAAAAAGACCAATTCAAAAATATATTATGAATTAGGTGTTCTATAATATATTTTCATATTAGTTTTTATGACAATACATTTCGAAATGTCCAATAAGAAATACATTTTTAGATTGATCTTTTTCGAAAATCCATATCAAATTAGGTGTTTGGGGATGTGTTTTCAAAAAGAACATTGTATCCTAAAAATGAAAATAAGTGTAAGGATAAAATAAGTTTTAATTTAATTATAGGGTGTAGCATAAATGATGAGAGTGCACTTTTGCTATTTTCCACTATTCCTATCCTACATTATTATATCTTTTGTAGATAGAAATATGAGCATTTAAATTTATAGGTTTAATTTTAATAAAATTTAAACAAATAATGTAAAATTATATTTTTATCAATAAATTTAATTTAATATAAATTATTGAAAACGATTTCTCTTGGAGTATTTCCTATATATAAAAAGAGAGATGAGCGTAAAAGGGCTTTTAGGGTAAAAATTTTGATCTCGTCGAAGTGTTACCTCCTTTTGCAACATCAATTCCATTTTTGTGGGACCTTTTAGAATCGAGGGTCCTTTCAAGGTTTTGATGCCATGGTTTCTTCTAGGAGATGCGCCACTCTCATTGGCTCCATTGCCTTTTCAATATATTTCTTTATCATCATTTTTCAAGTTCCCATTTTCAGGTATCATTTCCCTTGACCCTTTTTCTATTCCTTCTATTTCGTTAATGATAATCACCCTTAGCCAATTCGTTCTATGTCATTCTGAGAATACCATAAACGAGCCATAGCTGAACAAAACAAAGAGCATAGGTTTAAGGTGATTATAGAATGCGGTAAAAAGAAGAAAAACAGGGATTTTTTTTTTTTTTTTCTAATTAATCCAGACTTTACAGTTGTCTTTTTTGTTTATTTTTATCATGTATTGTAGATCCAATGTGCCTTTTTAAATCATCAGTCAATAACAGGATTGAAATCAAAGGCATCTTCAATTAAATATTCCAGAAATTAGGGTTGATGTAACATATAGAACCCCTTTTTTGTTACTTATATTTTTTTTATTGTGTTAATTTTCCTATGTTTTGATCAAGTGCACGTTTTGCTACACGGTATCATAGACTAAAGAACTAGCTAACAGAAGTGCACAATTGAATCTCCTAAATATTAAACAATTGAAGTAGCTCGTAGAAAATTAAAACATTGCTTCTGTTTGTGATTGCTCTGTATTATTTTTTTTTTCTTTTTCCAATTTCTGCAATAGTGCTTTTAATTTTGTATTACAGTGATGATTCTCACATGAGTCTTATTTATTTCCAGTGTTCCATGTAGAATTGGAATCTGTAAGTCACCGATAGAAGTGACATCTTCTCAGTTAATTGCAAGTGAGGTCTTCCCTCTTTTTATAGTGAAGATTCTTTTCTACCCTGGAGCTCTAGCAAAGGCGATTTGCAACCAAAAAGCCATCCCAAGCTACAAAAATTTGCTAAACTTGCAACATTTCAATACAATGGCAGTCTCTGCTGCATCAGATCTCCAACGCCTAGAGGTGTTGTGTTGATTAGTAGCTGAAATATAATTCCTCTATTGGTATTGAGATTAGTGTTAGCAACACGTTGGACACTACTTCTATATTTTAATACACTGTCTGTTCTTGGTTAAAATTTATATAAAATCATGAGTGATGTTCAATAAACAAGGAGTGAGCCTTTGCTTTGATCCTCATTTTCAAGTTGTGTTGGTTTGTCTTGCAGGTTCTTGCAGGAAGCTACTTGTCTGTGGGAGGAGCAATCACAGGACTGATAAAACCAGGGAGAATGAGCCTTTTTGGAATACTTCTTCTTATATGGGGTCTTATTAGAGAGTCCATAATGGGAAAATCTGGTTTCGTCCAAGCAAAAGGTGTCTACATGTATCCAGCCATGTATATTGCACTATTCTCAGCATTCTTCTCTATTAGAAAGGATGTCAGAAAGTTAATTCGTACCTTCACTCGAAAGAATGTTGTGAGGGCAAAACGTTTCAAATCAAAGGTAAAATGAGACTGGCAATGACATGCATACGGCCATGGCCTAACTGGCTATGATGCTTGACTCTGATTAGTAGGTAGCACTTCTACTTATTGCTCCATGCAATTGAAAACACAGGAATACAAGAATTCTTAGTCACAGAGTAGCTAGTGGTGAATATGCAGCATGAATTTTATGTATTATTGTTCATGAATGGCAATGACTTGCAGAAATCGTCACAGAGTAGCTAGTGGTGAATACTTATTGCTCATTCATTGCTGCTGCTGTTCTGATCTGAATAGGGTTTGACAAAATTCTTTAGGAAGTGTACATGCAGCTTATTCTGCACTTTTACTCCTTCATTGATCAAATTCAAACAAAAGGATGGCATTCTTTATTTATTTTCAAAAAGATATATATATATATATATATATATATATATATATATATATATATATATATATATATATATATATAAGCAGAATGAGTTGTATACTTTCATATATATGCTCTCAATTTTCTTTGTCAAGTTCATTGAATTCTGTTCTGAGTAAGAATACTGTAAGCATTCTTTAGAAGATGCACACTGCAGCTTAAGATGGGAGTTAGTTCTTTTAATGCACTTGTTAAACAGCAAATCTAGCATACCAGCATTCGTTATTGAAAGCTCAAATGACCAATTTTGTTTATTTCATCTCATTATTTAGTCCAAGTGACTATTAAGCCTTTGTAATTTAATATCGAATTGAAACATAAAAATTGGATTAACCTTTTTATAATTCCAATATTTTTGTTCGGAAGCGCTTTAAAAATTTAATTCATTAACTTTTGTCAAATACCAAAACAATAAGATTGAGTCATTTCCCATAGCTGAAAAATCCGGTTTGGTTGCGTGAAACATGATTAATTTAAAGTCCACATTTAGGATAATTAATTTTTACACATGGAGTATTTGTCACGGGAATGTTTCAGTATAAGTTTTAAATATGTTTTTATATTATGTACTTTTAAAGAAAAATGGTCTAAAATGTTTGTCAAACTTAAATAAAATTTGTCTTGGTAAATATATATTTTTTAGTTGAAGCTCCTCACATTATGAGATTTTAATATATCTCACGATAATTAAAATTGTAAAACTCTAGAGTTGACATAAACTTGATTGGTAGATTCAATTACTAACATATGTGCATATACAACAATAATTTAATATTTTCACTTCATAACAATAAAGTGTGGTACTATATTAGTATATTAATGCTAAATAACACTAAGCTATATCTGTTTATATCTATATATATAACTAAATAGGATCTAAATTCATAGAATCATTACTTTTTAATGTAAAAATAATTCAAGAAATAGTTAATCTATTCAAATATTTTGAGTATAATAAAATATTATCATTATTAAGTCAAACTTTAGAAAAGAGTTTGATAACAATTTAACTTATTTTTTCTATCTAAAATCGTATATTCATAAAAATTCAAGAGTTATTGCCAAAGTTTCACAATACTCAGAATAGTTTTCCGTCCTAATTTTTAATCGTACAATTTAGATTCTCACTTTCTTCATAAAAACAATTTTGTAAGATAAAATGTTTATGACAGATAAGGTTGTGAAAAAATTATTTGTAAAAAATAAACTAATAAAAAAGAAGCATTTTAAACTTTTAAATTCTGATTAAGTTAGTAATTTTCCTCGTAAAAACAAACGTCCCAAGAGGGAAAAAAGAAGACGGAAGTAAGTAGTTACCTACCACGCGCCGCCATCCTGCTAAACGACGTCGTTTGATACCCTACATCAAAAACCATAAAACATTAAGGAGAGGAAAATTCAGTGAGAGTGAGTAACGTACTGAACAGAGAACAATGGCGTTCTCTTCCACTGCAACCGCAACCATTCTGCCGCGTAGCCTCGCCTTCGCTTCTTCCACCAAACTCTTCGTCGGTCAATCTCTTCTTCGTTCTTCTTCTCCGCGCTTCCTCTCGTTCCCCACTCCGAAAACAAACCCTCGCAATCGCCTCATCGTTTCTCTCCAATCCCCACGCGCCCACTCCAGCGCGTCCCCATCTACCTCCGCCACCTTCCACGGCCTCTGCTACGTCGTCGGCGACAATATCGACACCGACCAGATCATCCCCGCGGAATACCTCACCCTTGTCCCTTCCAAGCCCGACGAGTACGAGAAACTCGGCTCCTACGCCCTCGTTGGCCTCCCTGCCTCCTATGCCACGCGGTTCGTCGAGCCTGGCGAGATCAAGACCAAGTACGCCATCGTCATTGGCGGCGCCAACTTCGGCTGCGGCTCCTCCCGCGAGCACGCGCCCGTCGCGCTGGGCGCTTCCGGCGTCTCCGCCGTGGTCGCGGAGTCGTACGCGCGGATCTTCTTCCGGAACTCGGTGGCCACCGGTGAGGTGTACCCGCTGGAGTCTGAGAGCCGTCTCTGCGATGAGTGCACCACCGGCGATGTTGTCACGATCGAGCTCGGAGGGAGCCGCTTGATCAATCACACCACCGGAAAGGAGTATCGGTTGAAGCCGATTGGCGATGCAGGTCCGGTGATTGAGGCTGGTGGCATCTTTGCCTACGCGAGGAACACCGGCATGATTCCCTCTAATTGAGGTATTGCTTTCTTACCTTCTCCTTTTGATGCTATAATTTTATGATAGAGTCACCTTTGTGTAGAGTAATTATCTAAACAAGGATTGGGTGAAAGAAAATTTCTAAAGCATAGGTAGAATAGGGTATGATATGATTCCAAATAGGCGTAAATATTTGAGGATTGGAATAAATTAAAATGAGAAAAATTGGGAATTAAAAATAAGATAGATAAAATCTGGATAAAGTGAAGGCGCCACAAACGAAGATTTGATAATCCTAAGGATAACTGTCAGAAGGTTTAGAGAATTCTTGATAGGGAAACCCTAGTAGAGATAATCTCACACTTATTTGGCAAAAGTGTTCACCTCCCTCTTGATTCTCTTCTTCACTTGAAGGTTCACTGTCAGTTTCTCCATTTATTAACATGACTATATTTGTTTGTTAGACATTTGGAAGCATAATGTCCTCTTCCCAAACACTTAAAACATTTTAACTCAGTAGTCTTCCTTTCAGGGGTGAATTATTATACCTCTTGGGTGACTTTCCATGTGAAGATGTGGCTGAACTCGAGGGAGCTCCTTTATCCTTCACAACCTTATCCCTCCAACTAGAATTATTATTATTGTTAAAACTCCTCTTCATGGTTCCCTTCCCTTGAGTTGTTCCACTTGAATAGACTTGTGTAATAAATCATCCATTTCAATATACTCCTGCATCTCCACAACATCCCTAATATCATGGTTCAATCCATTAAAAAACCTAGCCATGGTTGTTTCATTTTCTTCATTCATTCCAGCTCTAATCATGGTCACCTCCATCTCCTTAAATTACTTTTCTACACTTCTATTTACTGAAGTTTGAGTTGCAAATCCCTCTTGCTGGGATATATCTCTTTCTCATAATTTGTTTCATTTTAGTCCAAGAGTCCACCATGGGTTCTTCATTTCTAATCCTCTCCCTATGCTACTTATTCCACCAAGTTAGGCATAATCTGAAAATTCAGCTGCTACCAACTTCATCTTCTGCTCCTCATTATACTTGTTGCAAAGTTCCCACTCCAAGTAGGCTTCAGGATTACTCCTCCCTTTGAGTATGAGAATATTTAACTTCATCCCATCCAATTTTAGTTGTCTTTGTTCTCCCTCATTCTCTCTTCTTTTCCTCCGATCTCCTCTATTTTCATGATTTTCTTGATGTTCTTGTTCCATTTGATCCAATCTATCATGGAGCTTATCATTTTGTTGTTTCATCATTCTCTCCAAATATTGAGTTAAACTGTGCATTTGGGTTTGTGAAAGTCCAACATTTTGCGTTTCACCCATGCTCAAGTAAAGAGATTAGAAATAACAATAATTTTAGGCTTCATAACACTTTCTCACATACACTCGACACCCTTGTTTTCACAAAATTAGTTTTTTTTTTTTTTTTTTTTTTTTTTCTTTCACACTGTCTTTTACCACTCGTTCTCTAACTCAAGGTTCTTCAAGTATCAAGCAATCAATAATCAAGTATTGATGTCACGGGGAACATCACAACGCTTAAACAAAGTTTTAACATCAACAAAAGAGAAGTAGCAAAAAACAATTTCCCTACCAATAAACAAGAAAGACAATCAAACATGTATAGAAAAAAATAATAATAAAGAGGACACACTTGAAACTTAGGAATTTTAACAAACAAGTGGTGTGCACAAGACAATTGCTGTAGTTTTCTTCTTCTTCTTTTTTTAATTTTTTTTGTTGCTTTTTTTTTTTTTTTTAAAAGAGAACAATACCTAAACAACGTCCAAATACTGTGTGAAAACGGAATAGTAAGGAACAACGTGGAACACATGGAACAGTAAGGAAAAATGCAACGAATGGGTAATCTGATTATCTTATTGTTTGAACCTTTGCTCTGAGTATGAAATGATATGATTCCAAATAGAATTGTTGCAAATATTTAAGGATTGAAATCAATTAAGAACAGAAAAATTGGGAATTGAAAATAAAATAGAGAAAATCTGGATAAAGGGAAGGCGCCACAAACCAAGATTTGATAAGCCTAAGGATGATTGTTATAAGAATAGGAGAATTCTCGATAAGATCACAAGATGCAGGGAAAACCCAAGCAGAGATAACCTCACAGCTATTTGGCAAAAGTGTTCACCTCCACCTCTGCCTCTTCTTTCTCTTCTTTACTTGAAGGTTCACTATCTATTTCTCCATTTATTAACATGACCATATTATTTTTTGTTGAACATCCCAAAGCATAATGTTCTCTTCCCAAACACTTAAAACATTTTACCTTGCTAGTCTTCCTTTTAGGTGGTGAATTATTATATCTCTTGGGTGACTTTCCATGTGAAGATGTGGCTGAACGTGAGGGAGCTCCTTTATCCTTCACAACCTTATCCCTCCAACTAGAATTATTATTGTTGTTAAAGCTCTTCCTCATGGTTCAACCTTGGTTTGTGACGCCTTACCTTTATCCAGGTTTTCTCTATTTTATTTTCAATTCCTAATTTTCCTGTTTTTCATTGATTCCATTCCTTAAGTATTTGCGTCAATTCTATTTGGAATCATATCTGGCTCTGCGTGATTTGCTTGAAGGGTAAGTGTTACCAGCCATAAAGGAGAATAAACCATTTGATATCTGTTTGGCTGAACTATCTTGATGAGAGTCAGGTTACTGAAAAGGGTTACCCTTTAACCTGGTTTAAGAATTGTCTAAACCGAATATATAGTTGAGGGAAAGCCAACTTTAGTAAGAAGTTAATAGTTGTTCATTAGTACTATATAAGATCAAACTTAATCATACATAAATTCTAAAAGATGATGCAGGGGTACACTCTTTTACTCAAGATATTAAGCAAGTTTAACGAGGTAATCTAGAATTGCAAGTTAATTTGTTTTTTCCACCTATTTGTAAACTTGTAAGACGGTAAGAGTCTGAGTTAATTCACGTGTTTGACATAAATTGTAAGGTGAGAGTTGAGTCCTACACATCTGAGGTATGCAAATATTGTGTGGCGGTTTATAAGGCTTTGTTTCAACTGCAATGTCTAGTTTTTGTGGTATAGTTCTCCTAACTGTCTTATTAATTTAATTGGATCCTAACACAACTATTTTCAGATTCATTTGACTATGATTGATGTTTTCATGTCATTATAAAAATGAAAGCAGTACGTTGGAACCTATTGTATTGTCAATTTTTTTTAGTTTTTGTGGTTTGGTTTGTTATCAACATTCAAAAAGTTATCTTCTGTTGTCAATCCTCGTTTTCGGAAGTTAAGCTAGTGTGTCTTCATGCATAAGTTTCTATCTGTGTTTCCAAAGGCTTGTAGCCTCTTATTAATATTTGCCCTTCAGGTTCTCTGTTTTCTTTTGGGATTCTAACATCTTCTGTGCCCACCACATTAATTGGACTGGCAAATTTTTACCTTCCAGATAGATGTCGTGGCAGTAGATATTTGGGGAAGCTGGAAGCATTCGTGGATTTGTTGGAACCGTATCACCTTTGGCAGCAACTACCCAATGATTCAGATTTTTGCTCGTAGTATGTAGTTTTGACATTTGACAGGTAGTTCCGCAGATAGACTACTGCATTGTCTTTCTATGGTGAAAGGTAATTTGGTTGAAGATTAGTACTGTAATTTGGCTATAGAATTATTTGTACTTGGGAAATATGATGTTTTCCGGGATGTCAAAGTTTGATGAAGGTATGTAACATCAGCAGGATCTTAATTTTATTTTAGTTTGTACTCCTTTGCTTTGCGCAGGCTCACCTGAGTGGCTTGTTTTTAAAAAATATGAAACGGGTGTTTTACTATTTTAAATTTCCGAGTGCCATTCAAAACAGTAAATAATCATGTTACATTAGCTTACTAATATATCAGAAAAAAAATAACACTAGAAAAATGTTATGGCCGAAATTTTCATTTTCTTGAATTTTGACTTCAGGAAGATGTTTTGTAACTGATCTTCTCGAGCCTTTTCATAAAAATCGTTTATTCTTATTCGAATTCTTGACAAAGTATACTCGTGGTATTTGAAGAGCTTGTTTAACATAAATAAAAACATCGAAATTCAAACAATTGTTTACTCACCGGATGAGTTGAATGACTTAGTTTCTCACTTTTCTTTGCTGTCATTTGCCTGTGCTTCACGCATTTGCTGAGCATGGGGAAATGGGAAAACGAAAATAAGTTTAACTTCATGTTTGGCAGCTCATGGATTTCTGGGATGAAAGAGATGAATTCGATGTCAATCTTATTGAGTAATGAAACAAAATTGTAGGAATTAAATCAAGAGTAATATTTTTTGAGCATTCGTTTATATTTCTTTATTTAATTTTAATTGCAGTCTTTACGAAAATAAAAAAAATGAGCTCGGTTCACATGTAGGCTTGGCCAGTTACTTTTTTTTTTTTTTTTTTTAGGTTCAACTTTTTTCCCATATTTTCCTGTTAAAAGTTGGATGGTGAAGGATTAAAATTGTTATTTTTGAATGTGTGGAATAAAACTGAACAATTAAAACTACGTGAATTAAAATTGTCCACACTGAATTAAGGAAAAAACGTAATTATTTATTGATTTCTATATTCAACATTTGTCGATTTTTTTTGGTTGGTTTAGTCCCGAGAAATTGAAGAACTGCAACATTTTTACCAGAGTATCAACATATTTCTATGTATATAACATTGAAATTTCATGGCAGTTAATATTTTCTTACCCAAGAACAGAAAAATCAGGAACTTTGTGTGCACAAATCTTGACTTTCATTTTTTTCAATTTATATCCTCATTGGAACTTTGCTTATTTCCTGGTACACAACAAGCATATACTCTGTATTGTAATGCCCATGTTCTTAACTTCATTTGACAAGTGCCAACAATATGGTTCATGTCAATTTCTTGAAAATTTTTCTTCTATTGATTATTTCACTCATTCCGTTGCTTTTTGCAATGCTTACTTCTTCATCACTATTTGGAGTATTGCTTATCATTTTTACTTATATTCTATGGACTTATTATTCCACAG